CATGTGAGGGTTGATTACTAGGCCATATTATCTTTCATTTCTGTTAAAATTTTTTTCGTTCATCGAGTTTTCCTAAGAATTTCAAATAAAATATTTTGAGACGATAAAATTAACAATAAATTAGTGAAAGAATATTTTTAGGAGGAAATTGGACAAGCTCTATCGAGCCCTCTCAAAAAATCGACAAAAATAATTTTGCTCCAATGTCGGATTGCCAGCATCTCTGATAACTATTATTCTAAATAAAATTTGCTTTTCTCTAGCAAAATAATTTTTTGTTTATTTCTACAGATCTCATTTTATCATGTATGATCATTTTCATATCTATATACTACAAACAAGACTAAATCTACCATATTTTAATCCTGTATCAATCAGTTTGATTTCGACAAAAGACTAATAATTTTCCACATGAAGAAAATAATCTTTTAAATATTCCGTACACATGGAAGTGTGCAACTAGCTAGAATACTCAAGTTACTTTTTTTCTACAGCTTCAACCATTTCTCGAAGAAGTATAATTTTTTTCTACCAGTTACGATGCGCATATAGTGCTGGTGATTTTTTTTGTTAAGTTGTACTTAGTGCTTCACTCATATGGTGAATAATCTTCCAGCGTTAGCGCATGTGAATATGGTTTCCTGTTGTTTTTTCGTGGTAAAAAAAGTCTTCGATAATCTTGATTATTGAAAGTCGATACAGCTCAAATAAAAGTAAGTCATCAGCATGATACACGCACCATAACTAATAAAAAAAAATGGTAGTTTTTCGAAAAATGCTTGAAACTGTGCAAAATAAGTAACTGGAATATTCTAACTTGCTGATCATTCTAATATACTCATTTGTTTTATTTGACTGGTGTCGTTAATGAAAATGGTGGTCCATTTTTCACCAATCTAAATCACGATGAATGTGTGGTTCAAAGAAAGTTATTGCTTCTCTCTTTCCTTCGTTCAACATATCTCATATGATGGATATTGACAGTGCTTCTTTTCTTATTGTACGGTATATATTGCGAAGGACTGTTTGATTTTATTTCAAATCATTTTATTTAATATATTCATAAAACCACTTGAACTAATTGAAGAAATTTGATTAGATCTTTTTCCAGGTAGATTTTGTGTTTGAGCTTTTAAACGTAAATTTCGATCATCTGTTTGTTATTAATAGAACTTCACGGTGTAATCGAATAGCTCCATTTAAATAAAAACAACCCAGGTCTATCAAAACGGTGTCGTTTTCGGACTTAAAATGAATCGTAAAAGTGGTCGAAACGGGGTCTTTACGGTAGTATACCGGATAGATTCGGGCCGATTTGGGTCCGTATTTTCTGGCGCAGAAATACGCATCGTATTGTATCTGCATGGTAAACGCACCGTATTTGGTCGCTTTCTCTCCGTTTACAGATAAAATTTGAATCTTAATGTACGATTCTTGTATGATCGTATTCTAAGATTGTGCAAGATCTTTTATTATTCATACAAAATTTTATAGAGAGTTCAAATAGAGTTTTTCACCGATCTAATCGGTCTGTTCTGATCTCTGACCTTCTCTTTCCCTAATCAACCGTTCTTCATCACCTTCTCCCACTTTCCACCACTTTTTACCAAACCCCACCACAACTATGCATCTGATTGATACTTACCGTTACGACAATGTTAGCAAAAACATATCTAAATAAAAAGAAATAAAAATTTAGTATATAAAATTTATACTTACATATACCACGATATTATTAAAATATCTAAATAAAAATAAAAATAAAAAATTTATATATTAAATTTATAGTTGCCTATTCGACGATAAAATTGAAATATCTAAAAAGAAAATATGAACTTTGTATACAAAGTTCTAGTTGTCTATTCGATGATATTATTAAAATATCTAAATAAAAAAATAAGAATCTAATTTATAATATTCACACTTACCTACACCACGGTATTATTGAAATATCTTAATAAAAAAATAAGAATTTTATAGATAAGAATCATACTTGCCTATTCGAAAATTTGATTGATATGTCTAAACGAAAAAAAATATAAACTTTATATAAAGTACCTGACAAAATGACAGATTTTAGTGGACTTTGTTTTTTTTTTCAACATTCGCGATAACTAGATGGCACATGAGTCGAGACTCGTCTGCGAAATGCGGTGCGAAGCTTTTCCGAATGTCGAGTATCGAGAAATCGAAATATAGTATGAAATAAATAGTCGTGTTTACGAGACTGAATATACAACATTTTATTTGGAAAAGTATTTCTAGTTTGTTAAATTCAGTTCTCTTTTGCTATCGATATAGTGAAAAACGTGAAATGTCGACCGCGGTAAGTCGACGTTGAAAAAAGTAGACGTTATTGGTATTCATTACTATGAGAACTCTATTAGTGAATATCAACTCATTTCTAAAGAACACTATTGATTGATCGTTTTAATTATCCATATGACTCATTATCTATTATCAGTTGCGATATATAAAATCAGTTGTTTGAAGAGAGTGGCGCCTAACTTTTCTTTCAATTTTCGTTTTAATTATCTCGAATGTAAAAAAAACAAAGTCCACTAAAATTTGTCATTTTGTCGGGCTCTTTATACAAACGGAAGCTTCTAATAAAGATCAGATGACAAAAGGTAGCGATTCAATCTTGGCATTTTCACCTCACGCTTAAATGAATATTTTCTGATTGCCTGTTCTCCAGAGCATGGAGGCATAAAACACGAACTTTTGATACGTACGTCGAGAAAGCAAAAAAAAAGAAAGAAAAACTAGATGGCACACGAGTCTCGACTCGTCTGCGGAATGCAGTGCGAAGATCGATATGTCGAGTATCGATAAAACGAGAAATCGTGGAGAAATTGTTTGATCTAATCGATTCGAAAAGCAGACATCGAGATATTCATTACTAAGAAAACTCTATCGAGATATATCAACTTTATTTTAACAAACGCTATCGATTGATCAATCAATTATTTATGTGATTCATTATCTATCATCAGCTGAGTTCGCAGCTGTAACGAATGAATTCAGATATGCAAAGATATTGGCAGGTAACTTTTGTTGCTATCTTCATTTTAATCATGTCAAATATAAAATCTTTCAAATTCGTCTTTTTTATAAATTATTTGTAATCAAAAGACTCGTCTTAGTGAAGATCAGAAAACGAATTTCCACGATTTGGTCTCTATACTTTCATCTCGTGTTTTAATGAATTTTTTCTAATTTTCCGTTCTTGAGATCATCGGGACACAAAACGAGTACTTTTGATGCGTACGTCAAGTAAGAAATAAATAAAGAAAACTCGCGACCCAGTTCTATATAGCTGCTTCGCACCTTAAAAAGTAAACTCGCGAACGACTACATAAATGCTGTGCGAAGCACAGCATTAAATATGTGGTAAAACGTTTGATTACAAAGACTAATACATTTTTGTGCCAAAAAAAACATATCTTTCAGGAATCTAGCTGAGAGAGGAGAGCTGATCTCATCTCTCCTCTAGCCCACAATTCTATCTCCGCATTGATTTAAAATTGCCTTGAGTTTTAATCTCTCCTGCAACATATGTTATAAAGAACAAAATAGACAACTACGCATTAAAATATAGCTCTTTTAAGTATTATTCAATGTCTATTCTTTTTATTTTCTGTATTTAACAACTCGATTACGTACATATTTCAAAAAAAGCAAGTCAGTTTTAACTAATGTCATCTATCGGCTATTTTCAATTGGTCGAATGGTTACTATTATTTATATTTATTTTGTTCTTTTTTTACGTCTCAATGACTGTATCATACGTTCCTTGAAATCTTATTCATTCTCTTTTAGTCTTTTACATTTATTCAAATGAGTGACATGTCAGCAACCAAACAGCTTAGTGGAGACATAGTTTCTCCTTCATCTCAACATTCAGAAATACCACTTGGTACTTCTAAAGACATTAATGCAAATTCAACAACTAATGATAATAATAATAATAATTTGTAACCATAGTATCGTTGTTTTTTTCTTTTTATTAATTCTTTTCTTCTAATCATTAGATCAACTTGGACATTATCAAATCTTCAAAAACTAAATGTTAGCGAATTATATACTCGACAATATCAAAGTTTACGTTCATGGGCAGAGTTTTTTAATACAAGTCAATTTAAAACACCTGCAAATATTAAAGCTGGTAATAAGAATTTGATTACATACAAAAGCAAAATTATTTGTATATTTTTTAGGTGGTCGTCGAATTCTTTTAAATATTGAACATTTTCAAACAAATTATGTTATGGTCATTATTCTTTTATCAATCTATTGCATGTAAAAAAATTTTAAATCATTTATTTTATAAAATTAAAAAAAAAATTTTTTTTATTCATTTTATTTAGAATTACAACACCGGCTTTACTTTTTGTTTTATTAGCAATGGGTGCTGGTTGTTATTTAGTTAGTTTAAAAAATCGTGAAAGTCAATTAGTAATTATGGGTAAGAAATTTCATTGATCTGTTAAACGATATTCTTATTATCATGGCTTTTTTATATTAGGTCGTCAAATTCCAATAACTCAACAGTATTTAGCAGTGATGTGTCTTTGTATTCCATTGCTTGTTATGGTTGGTGCTGGTTCAGCAATTTTTTGGATTCTTGGTAAATAACATAAACTGCTCTTTAAATTCTTCATTTTTTTTTCTTCTTTCAGGTGCTTCAGTTTTTGTCATATTTCTTCATGCACTGTTTCATCAAACACCAAATCAAGAAGCATTTGGTGTACAAATGGAAGAAGTTTAAATGAATAAAAAAAAACAGAAAATCTTCTGTTTAGTATTTTTTTTTTGACTATTTTTACTCTCTAATTATAATGTGATATTTTATTGGGAAAGTCCTTTACTACTAATGCGCACTGAATCTGATAATATTTTTCATTGCACAGTTAACAAATGATTATACCAGTTTTTCTTTTTCGTTTGACAATACTAATAAAGAACATATTTATATGTTGACGTATTAATTATTTTAGATGGTACCATCATCAGAGTATATTATAGAATTTAAAGTAGATGTTTTGAAAACATTAAAACTTGTTGGTATAACAACAGGCGTTTTAACAGCAATTGGTGTTAGTGCTTATTATATTCATCGAAATTTACAAAGTTCGAAACGTGTTATTCTACGTGATGAAGTACGAAATATTCTTCGCCCATTTCAATTAACTGAAGAACAAATTCGCCGTGTTATGGCAAATTTAAATACTGAAATGACAAATGGTCTAAAATCTGATGAAGCAATAACAAATGATTTAGCTATGTTTCCAACTTTTGTACATCATGGACCAAGTGGACAAGAATCTGGAGAATATTTAGTTGTTGATTTAGGTGGCTCAAATTTTCGTGTTTCACATGTTGTTATTGAAGAAAGAAATCGAATGCGTTTAAATAATAAAATATTTCTTATTCCACATTCATTATTATTAGGTGCAGGTGAAAAATTATTTGATTATATTGCTGAATGTTTACAAAGATTTATTGATGATAATAAATTATCCTTACATAAATCAAATGATCATCAATTTGATTTAGGTAGGAAAATTTTTAGTTTTTCTTGTTTTTTATATTATTGAAGTTATAAAAATGTAAATTAAATAGTATACTTATCATAAAGTAATATACAATCGGTTCAAAATTAAGAAGTAGTTTATATAATTAATTCTCTATAGTATGAGCATCGTGTTTTATGAAGAAGCTAAAAAAAATTTTTTGTTTAAAATATTATTTTGTTTTAAGCATAATTTTTTTTATATCGAAAAATACAGTCTGACTTTTTCTAGACTTGTCTAGTTTTTTCATATCAATATCATAATAATAATAATAGGATAGAATTAAGTATTCATCTTTATAGGAAATCTAACAAGTCATTAGAATCAATTAAGATGATTACAAAAAATACTGTCTAATATGAACATCGAAGGAAATATTTAAAAATATTAATTATATAGAGATATTTCCATCCTATGTCCACACGAAAACATGTAAGGATATGAATAGCAATTAAACATTCACTTTTGTAAGGTTTCTCAAATTGATGGAAATACAAAACAAAAGCATTAACAGTTTACGAAGAAACGGCAGATTTCGAGCAAAAATTACTCGATAGAAATTTAGAGTATTCACTATAATGATATATTCACATTATAGAGAAGTTTTGCAATAGAAGTTTTTACTGTAGATTAAATATTTATGAATTGAACAGTAGTGTTATATAGAAAAATAAAGAAATAGAAAGGTAGTAATAATGAAAAAAGCATCTGGTTATTGTTCAAGAACATATTGAATGAATCTAACAGGCAACAATGTCATTCAAAGTATCATGATCAAGAGAGAAACGATGTTCAAATAACTGCTAAACTTGAATCAGAAAAAAAATTCAACTTCAGCTGATGAAAGAACCTCTTCAGGTGTCAAATCGTTTTTCTACCAAGACGATGTTCATTCGATGAGTAATAGAAATGATCACGTGAAAAATTGACTTTTAAATTTCGATGTCAAAGTTCTTGATGAGATTAGTTAATTGTGTAATTAGTATTTCCTTTCTGAGGATGTAAATATATGAACAAAATTTGCTTTTACACACGAGAGCATTTCGAATATTGAATACCTCAGAATAGGAGATACCAGAAAAGTTCCAACTAGGCAAATAAATTAACCTCGTTGAGAACTTTGTTCGTGCAAAGTTTGAAGTTGAAAGCCGATTTTTCATGTGACCACAACTTTTTGTTGAAAAACTCAGCAAAATTTCGATATTTCAAGAACAGAAGTTCGGAAAAGCAAACCATTCTAGATTTCTCGATTACTCATTAAATGAACATCATCTCGATCGAAAAGGGATGTGATACCTGGGAAGATTCCCTTGTAAATTAACTGATCTCTCTAGAATGGTAAAGTAGATTTAATTGGTTATTCATATTTTCAATATTCATCCTGAAATATTTATTATATTTACATGTCATCATTGAAAATAAATTTACCTATACCTATTTGATATCAAAGAAAACAAAACACAGATCAGCCAAAAAAATCATAGTCTGTCTCTGTCACAAGTAGGCAGACTTAGAAGCCTAGTTGGAACTCTACAATTTGTAGACTAAAGTGTCGATTAAAGAAAATAATTATCATATAGTTCGTAGTAAAGTATTAATTATTTGTACGATTAAATAAAACTTTTTGAAAAAAATGAATTATAAATTATTTTTGTATTTTTTTTCTTTTAGCTTTCACATTTAGTTTTCCTTGTAAACAAAGAAGTTTAAGAGAAGCTACATTAGTATCATGGACAAAAGGTTTTAGTTGCACCAGTGTTGTTGGTAATGATGTTGTTAGTATGTTGCAACAGGCCATTAATCGACGAAAGGTATGAATAATTAGATAAATTTGTTTTTGTCAACAATAAATAATGGTTTCATTAATGTTTATTTTAGGGTCTCAGAATAGAAGTTGTTGCTTTAGTTAACGATACAGTTGGTACATTAATGGCTTGTAGTTCAACTTATCGTGATTGTAGAGCAGGTGTTATACTTGGCACAGGCAAATAGATTATTAAAAGTTGATTTTTTGATTCAATAATATTGTTTCTTTTTTTAGGAACAAATGCATGTTATTTTGAAAATATTGAAAATGTGCCTAAATGGATAGGTCCACGAGATAATACACTAAAACAAGTTGTAATTAGTACAGAATGGGGTGCACTTGGAAAAGTTTGTAATCGATTTAGATTAATATTTTTTTATTGATAATAAATGAATATGTTGATTTTATTTAGAATGGTTGTCTTGATTTTATTCGAACGGATATTGATCGTGAACTTGATGAATCAAGTTTAACACCACAACAACAAGTTTTTGAAAAAATGATATCAGGTAAAAACAAACTTGAAAGAAAATTTTAATAAAATAAAAATAATGGTATTTTAAGCTCTTTATCTCGGTGAAATTGTTCGTTTAATTATTGTTGATTTGGTACAACGTTCTATTCTTTTTCCGGGTCGTATGCAAAAATCACCAAGTATTCGACCTGATTATAATATATTTCTTATTCTACGAGGTAAATAAAACGGAAAAAAAAAGAATATTAAAATAAGATTTTCAAATAATTTTTTTTCAGGAAGTTTCTATGCGAAACATGTTGCTGATATTGAAAGTGATACAAGTAAGCAAAACAAAAATAGAGAATGAATTTAATAATGTATGCAAATAAAACATTATATTTATTTTAGCGGAAGATTTGTCAATTACTGCTGCAATTCTTACTTCAATTGGTATTCATGAACCATCATATGATGATTGTTATATTATTCGAGAAGTATGCAAGACAGTATCACTTCGAGCAGCTAAATTAGCAGCGGCAGGTAAAAGAGACAACTGATCATATTGCTTGCATGACATATACAAGAAAAATTGAGTCTCGAAATTGGTACGTTCCTATACTGTTAGTCTTCATTAAATCCATATTTCTTATATCATTTTTCTTTTTGTCTTTTGGAACTTTTATAAGTTTATTAAAATTACAAAATGTACTCATTACTAGAATGATTAGTAATAACATAATCTTAATCGATCATGCTTAAAATAAATATTCTTATTTATATTCTAGCCATTGCTGTGCTTATTAATCGTCTCAATATGCCTTCCGTAACAGTTGCTGTTGATGGAACACTTTTTCGTCATCATAACAAATTCAAGAAAAATCTTATTCAAACCTTAGATCGATTTGTACCAAGAACAGTAAGTTTTAATCGACTAATTTTTTCTATATTTTATCTAATCTGTATTTTCTAGCATCGTTTGGTTCTTTCTGAAGATGGTTCATCTAAAGGTTCAGCTTTAGTAGCTGCTGTTGATCGCCGTTTAAAAACAGCATCATCTACATATGAAAAAAATTTTCCATCATAAATCATTATAATAAAATATAAACACTATTATTAATTCATCTTTCCCGCATGATTTTTATATACAAAAACAAATTAATAGTTCTTGTTGTTTATGTTTTTTCCTAGTCATTTTAGAATATAATATTTCTTCATTTAATGTCTCTTATCCTAGTCTTCTGTTTTGTTTGATTTTCTCCTCTTATAGGCCTATATAATTTCAATTTTACCTTATTTTGCCTTCTTAGATATAGATATGTATTGTCTACATTTCTCTTCTTTAATTTAGCCAACCAACAACACATATATACTAGTATGACAAATGTTTTGGTTATTTATTTTATGTTTCTCTAGATTTATTATCATATGCTTCAATGGATGGACTTTATTTGCCTAATGGGCGTCAACTTGCATTAATTGATCGTGATTGGATTCTTGACGAATTACCACATTTAGGAAATCCTGACGATAATTCAGACACTAATTATTTACTTGCATCAGCAGCAGCTTCTAATTGTAATACTAGTATAGCATTAGGTGGTTCAACAGGTCGAACTACATCAACTTTTGGAACAGGAAGTAGTTCATCACACGAAGCATCTCCTCATACAGTCGGTGGAACTGGTAGAACTGTAGATAGGACAGGAACTATTAGTGGAAGTACAGGAGTTAGTTATCATCATAATTTATCATATAATCTAGACGAATTTGAAAGTGATTTAACATTGCTTTCAGAAATTGTTGACGAAACACACAATAAGTGGTCTGATTTTGGACTTAATCAATTACTTACATCATACGCACGTTCAATTCGACCAGTATTTAAATAAAATATCGAATATTTATTAAACAAAAATTTATTCAAAATAAATTTTGTTTCTTTTTTTTTTAACATTTAACTTATATTATGCTTCTTATTCAACGTTATATGTTTCGAATTAAACGTTATTTTCTTCGATTTAGTCTTGCGTGTCGTAAACGACAAAAATTAAAACGTTTATTTAGAATATTTCTTATTTTGATTGTTGGCCTTTTAATTTTAAATATTATTAATGGTGTACTTTTTTCGAGTATATTATTTTTTCAAGAAAATTCCAATGAACCAGATTATGATCTTGATACACGGCCATATTATCAAACAATTGAAATGAAAAAACGTTTTGATATATCAGGAAATTATTTAATTGTACAAAATTTTGTACAATATCAAAGTAATTTAACAAAAAATGCTGATTTACTTGCACTTAATTTACATACAAGTATTGAAAAACTTCATTTATCATTAAATCATGCAAAAGTTTGGGATGGACCAATATCATTAACTTTATATGTTAAAGGTACACGAGCTAGTGATGATATTGATTATGCATCAATGTGGCTTCGATGTAATCATAGATTATTTAAAGTACTTAATATTCATCTTGTTATGTCAGCAACAGCTTATGAACGTAAGATATTTAAATTATTAAGTAGCACGAATACGTCAGTTATAATAATCAGATAGTGTAGAAATCTTGAAAAATGATGCCCAAAAATAGATTTGTTAATGCAGCATCTTTTTGAAGCTAAAATATGGAATTCACATGTGTCCTTTATCCTCTTTATGCTAATACAAAATCCATAAAATGATAAATCTCTAGAAGACTACATTTGTTTTCCAAGGATAATCGATCGCTATGGGAATGATCTCTCTTATTTCTGCATTTCGAACAGAGATTTTTCTTTCTTTTTTTGTTTTTTATTTAATTTGTTGATGTACACTTTCGTATTCCGATTTTGTTAATATAACATTTGCATTATTATTATTCTAACCATTGATTTAACTGGCAAATGAGTCTGTTGTACATATCAATTATATCTACAGGAGATCGTAACGCACTATTTTGTATCTCAATAGGCATGGAAATACCGATATTGATTATTTCTTAACGTTATAACTTAATCAGTTCACGCTTCATATTACGACCGTAGCAAATTAATGCATGATTGCCCATCATCCTTGACATTATGAATATAAATTTTTATCGACCTATATTTAATTTAGCAATAAAATAATTGAAATGAGCAATATAGAAATTTAGCAATAAATTTACTGAATCAGCGATAACTATATTGAATGAGCAATAAATATACTGAATCAGCAATAATTTACTTAACTTAAAGGTAAATTTTATATAAAAAGGGGCACTATGGATTCATTTTGTTATGCTACATTCCAAAGCGGTGCTATAAGACAGAGTTGTGTTATACTATACATTATATTTTTGGTCTCTTTCTTTCTCTACATATGTATCTACACCATTCATGCTCTTTCTCTTTTGTCAGGCTAGCTGTACTGGTTTTTCTGAATCCGACCAAAGGAATCATTCGATCATCTCGAATATTGAATGGTTATTCGAATACAAATTTTATAGATTAATATTTACTCTTTCAGACTATGCAATTAGAACTGTACAACAATCATTCAAAGCCGAAGGTTTTTAAACAAAAAACGCCCGAGTCCATACATTCGGGTCTGATAGAGTCCAAGTATGAACTCCAACCTTTTTATTTAAAATCCTTCAACTCTGAATGTCTTTTGTACAGTTATAATCACATTGTATGAAAGGGGAAACATTGCTCCACAGATGTGTATTCGAAAAACAGTTCAGTATTTCAAAAAATAGAATGACCCAAAATCTTCTGGTCGAGCTCAGAAAACCTGGTGCTGCTCCCTATTGTCAGATACGTTCCCATATTGCTTTCTCTTTGATTGTTCATTTATTTCTTTCAAGTGATCATTCAGATATATTCTATTCGTATCATATCTATTCTTGGTATATTCTGCCATCTCAGATACAGGTCTACACGTGTGTGATAACAGGGAGGATCTTATTTTTCGAAAATAAACATCATACACATAAGATCATATTACAGATTTAACATATTTATTTATAGAAATACGTAAGAAACAGAGGCAGACCACCAAGGCAAAAAAAAAGCTTTATTGACCCAATAATATACTATATTTTTGATTTCTTTTTTTTTTATTTTCGATTGTAACTAAAAATAATGCAGTTTTTCTTTTATTTATTGCTAAAATATGGAATTATTACTGCCATTTAATGAATTAATTATTGTTCATTTAATAATATAAAATTGCTCAATAAAGTTTTTTTTATTGCTCACAAATTATTGCTAAAACGTATGTTAATTATTGCTGATTCCAATATTTTTATTGCTCAAATAAATACTAGCCATTTTTATCCATGCAAAAATCAAAGATTGTACTATTTAGAACATTTATAAACATGTTCCAACCATTCAAATTTCGAGGAAGGCTTTGGAATGTTCTGGAACACTCTCAGCCTTGTTGTTAATGTTGTTCGACGCCTTTTCTTGCGTTGCTAAGAAACTCTAAGAAAGGAGTCCGGCGCCTGTTGTCCTCGATTGCTATGCAAATGTACTCAATGATCGTTGGTCTTCTCACGTTGCTATAAGTGGGAACCGAGAAATTTCTACTAAAAAGTTATACCCATTATATTTTTCATCGAAAAATATAATATGAGTTCCAAAAAACTCCTCTATTGAAATTTTGTTTAGTTTCGATACCTTTAAGAATAATGATTAGATATACATACAATAATAAATTGAACTCATAATATAATAAGTAAAAAAAATAGATTCTACAGAGTAATAACAAACAGTGATATGTCACACGAGAGATTATTTAACAATGAATAAAAAAATGATATCTGGAATAGTATAATTAATCTTCGAGAGAGCACGTAAAAGAAAAACATTATGAGCACAATACAATTTTATTATTCCGTTTCGACGATTTGGTTTGATCTTCCTAATAGAAAAAAAGTTACAATAACGATATGATAATAAAAACTTTTACTAAACATTTCCATGAAATCAAACATTGAAATATTTTTAATGACATGTTTAATTTAGGTTCAATATCAAATCAACATCATACTCATAGTGTTAAATATGCTGTTAGTTGTCAAAATCTAAATTATATAAATCATACTGATGAAACTGATTCAACTCCATATCCATCAAATCTTCTTCGTAATATAGCTCGTCTTGGTACAACACCATTAACTGTACAATATATTTTAACACTTGATATTGATATATTTCCTGCATCAGATCTTTTTCATCATCTTGTTTCATTTTATACTCAAACAACAACAACAGAACAATTTAATCGTACACTTTATGTTATTCCAGCATTTGAAATTCATATTGATACTGTAAAACATTCAGCACCACTACCACAAAATAAACGTGAATTAATTTTATTATGGAATGATAATCAATTACAACCATTACAAGCTGATGTTTGTCCAACATGTCAATTTTTAACAAATTATCAAGCATGGAAACAAGAAGCAAGTGATGATAAAATTATTCCTATATTTCGACCACATTATTCACAACCATGGCAACCATATTATATTGGACCTAAAGATGTACCAACATTTGATCCACGTTTTAAATCACATGCACATGCTAGAATAAGTCAAGTAAGAATAATATAGAATTTTCTATCTTAATTTATTTATTTTTTAATATTTATTATTTTAGTGTTGTGAAACTTTTATGAATGGCTATGATTATGCTGTATTAAATAATGTTTATTTATATCGATTAGGTTTTCTTGATAAATCTCAATTACCAACAACAGAATTAATTGATGATGATACATCAGTTTTACTTTTTGATCAATTTCGTGAAGATCTATTAAAACATTATACAAATACAACAAGAAAATGTTGATCCAGATGATTTCTGTTATTGTCTTTTCTTTTTCTTTTTGTTTTTTTTATGTAAATCTAATTTTTTTCTCATTTTTTATTATCTTTTCAATAGAATTATAACGAATGAAGTAAAAGTTCTGCATTTATTTTGTTTTCAGTATAACATGGATAACAACTCGTCGTAGACTCTTGCTAGTTTTCTTATTAGAACGAGCAAAACTGTGTAAAAATATTTCGTTCAAAATACTTACCGAAGGCTAAAAAGTTTTTAAGAGAATCTATGAGTAAAACAGTTCTCTGTACACTTCTGGAATTTAGAAGAGATCTTCTACTCACTAAGAAAGTTGGTCTTATTTTCCGTCTTTTATTATGTTTTATAGCTCTACGATAGAGCATTGTAAACATGTAAAAAATAAAATAAAATTTTCAAGTTATCATTTGAGTTCGAAATCGATATTTTTCTAAAGTCCTCTGTTTCATGGTGTTGTCAAATTAGAGTTTAGTGAGCCTGCTACAAAAGCACATTATATAAAACAGAATATAGTTTTTCCATAAGACATAATGAGCAGAAATGGGATTGGTTTGCGTTTTTTTAGAACCAAACCGATCTCAACTTTGTTTAGGATAAGTTTCTACGATGAGTCATCGTTATGCTATGCTAAAAACAAAATAAATACAGAACTTTTGTATCATCTATTAACTTGAATGTAAAATAAAATATTGTTATCATTTATAGATATGGAAAGAGAAGAAATAATTAATTCTATAGAAACAAATTTAATTAGTAATTTTCAATCTATAACAATTAAAAATCGTTTAAAGAAATTTTTTGGTTTACCAACATCTATACATAGTGAATATATTGATGATAATGAACAATGTTCTTGGTGTATGTTAAGATATAGAATATAAATAATAATAAAAAATAAAGAAAAGGCTTTTTTTTTGTTATAGCTTCAAATACACTTTTATGTGCAACTACCTTTCTCGAAGATGCAGTCAATTATCAATCTATAAGACATAAAATAACACGAAAATATTTATTAATCTATCGATGGTTTTCATGTCCGATGATAAAAAAGTAATTGACAAAAACAAAATTATTTTTAAATGAGTATTGATAAATTGATATATCTTATAGATTACATCAGATTATGTTGATAATTAATCTTTGTTTGGCATTTTTTGAACGACCATCATCATTTAGTATAACATCAGATGTTCGTGATAAACCTGATCGAATTATTTTTCCATATTTTATACTTATGACAATTGAAGGTTTAACACTTCTTTGGTTTAGTTGCTATATTTTTGTGAAAGTAAGTGATTGAAATTTTGATATTTGTTGTTGTTTAATTAATAAAATGATAATTAGATTGCTTGTTTTGGTATAAAATATATTCGACAACGATTTTGGATAGTAATTTTTTTTATTGTTATAAGTTATTCATTATGTGAATGGTTTGTTATGTTGTTATTTCTTAGTCAAACATATCAAGGTGTATGTATGAAATAATTGAAGAAAATACTTTTGTTTTAATGATAATAGAAATATTTAGATTCGTCTTCGACGTATGTTTCGTCCTATATTTATGATTGAATCATCACAATTGATGAAAAAAGCATTTGCAGCTTTACATAAAAATGCGTTAACCATTATAGCGTATGTCAAAATAGAAAAACAATTGATAATGATATGGTTTTTTTTTAAATATTTTCTATCTAGTTCTATTTCATTGGCACTTATTCATATTCTTTTCTTTGCTGTTATGGCTATGTTTCTATTTCCTCGATCAGATGTAAATGATTACAAGGAAAAATTTTTTTTTTTCCCCATAAAATTCTTTCTTTATTTAGACACGACCAGATAGTCAAGGCAGTACTTATTTTTCTAATTTACACGATTCAACCTTACAATTACTTGTACTTCATTCAACAGCGAATAATCCTGATATAATGATACCAGGTAAAAATTCATTTTAATCGAGAACAACAAAAAGAGTCTTTATTGTTGACTATTCCTAGCTTATTCGGACAATCGATTGAATGCATTATTCTTCATCATTTTTGTTGTTATTGGTAAAATGCAGGCAAATTGATAATAACTTACCGAAATTGTTTTTTTTTTTTATTTATTTATTTAATTCAGGCATTTATTGGATACAAAATATAATAACAGCAGTAGTTTATCGTGCTTTTCGAGGTTATTTTTTAAATTCAATTATTAATTTACAATTAAGACGACGAATAGCTGTACGAGCTTCATTTGAAATTTTAAAAAAACGTATAACATCTGAAGGATTAATTGAAATAAAGTACCAATCATAAAAAGAAAAATAATTGATTTTTGAGAGAGAAGAAAATTTAATTGTTTTAGAGATAATATACCAATATCAGTTGTTCAAATAGTATTAAATTATGTATCGATGAATAAATGGCATTTTAATCGAATTAATGAAGTATGCAACCAAAACAAAATTAATGAATATAAATTTAAATTTTTCTATTTAGAGACTCTCTGAATTAATCCATGAAAACGACTCAATTAATCTTGATCAATATTCTCATACAATGCAATTATTAGATTTAAATCCAAAATTAGCACCGGTAAAAAAGACAAACAAATAATAATAATAATAAAACCAAGACAAAAAAATAATAATAATCTTGTATTTAAGGGACTTAATATCCGAACATTAGGTGAAAATACACTCGATCGTTTTAAAGCTATTTGTCGTTCAAAAGCATTTGATTTTATTGGAACAATATTTGCTATATTAAGTGTTCTTTTTGTTACAGTAAATAATGATTTAATCGTTTTTTTTTTTTATGATATTTTGAGCTTTTTATGTTATTTTCAATAGATTGAAGTTAGTGATCATCATTTAAATACTAATTACAATGATATAGTAACATATACATTACCCATGGCAATTATTAATTTATGTTTTATATTTTATTTTGTTCTTGAAATAGTACTTAAAGCATGGGCATTTGGTACAGTAAATTTTTTTCGTTCATCATCTATGCATATATTAGAAGCTATTGTAGCATTTACATGTTTTGTAAGAGAGAAAAAAAAAACAAATGATTTATTTATATTTTGTTATGTATTACATTTAAATAGTTTTTGCAAATTATTTATTTGGCAATACATCGAACACTGATTGTTTCACTAATGTAAGAACAAAAAAAAACACAAAAGAAATTTTTGTTTCATTTTTTGTTTTTTTTTTTTTTTTGATTTAAATAATTTTTAATTAATAGATATGTTGAAATGATCAAGAAAGAAAAAACAATTTTTCCGCTTTGGGCAGCAATAAAAGTTTGCAATATGTTATTTATTTATAGATTAATTCGGTTTTTACCAGCATCGAAAAATATTCGAATTATTGTTGGAACGATTCTTGATGAATTTCGAAATGGTGGAGCTTTCTTTGGACTTTTATTCGTAATTTTTCTTAATTTTAATTAATAACATATGATGTAAAAGTCATAACATAAGATATCGATCTCTATTTCTCTTTGATAAAAGATGGAGTCGGTCTGAACACGTCAGACAGGACCGGATCGGTTTGTTGATCTATGATGTAACCAGTCGATAGCCGTTCATCTCTGAGATGCTGAAAGAAAACATTTTTGTACTCTTTTGAATTATATATTTCTGTTTTTGTAACACATTCATCAATGAAATGATACAACAGAAAAGAGAAACACTCTTCAAAACATCTGTACTTTTTCTATAAAAAAATGACACAATATATCGATCCATATGTTTCTTTGGTAATTATATTATGAAAAGAATATCTTTTTTATCAGCCAATAACCAAAACGAAGGATACGAAATTCGTATACGCTCCGTATCCGAGTGTATTATATGACTCAGGTATTACGACCGTATTTCTCCGTATACGATACGGAGAAATACGATCGTAACACTGAACCGTGTAATGCACCAATAAAGGACGATTTATGGTCGTTTATGAGCGTGCTTGTTGAACCGAAGTACGAAATTTTCTTCTTTTTTTTTATATAGTGTATGATTTACGCTTGTCATCTAAATTCGTCAATGAAGTGAGACAAGAAAAAAGAGAAATATTTGTGCAAAAGATTTGCAATTTTTTGTAAGAATTCATCAAAAATATTTTGTTTGACAAAAATTAATTATAATCGAACTTTTTATCAATTCACAAAAAATCGAATGTTTCTCATTGTTCTCTTTTTATTTCATTTTCGAATATGTGACAAATAAAAATCATATACTATTCGAAAGAGAAGCAAATTTTCTATGAATTGAATACCAAAAATATTCATTGATAAATATGTCTATCGAAGAGATATTTAGATTAACATTTTGCGCTGTCTTTTCTAAATCTTATACAAAAAGCGGAAATCTTTTTTTAAAAGGATGTTTCTCCTGTTGTTGTATCATTTCGTTTATGAATATATTATAAAAATAAATTATATTCAGATCGAAAGAGGAGAAAAGTTCTATCCCGATTTCGTTCTAGAGAGAAAATATTCCAGAGTTTATTTGTATCACATCTAAAAACAAATCTTTCAATACTTGTGTTTTGATTTATCTATTCGATGACTAACATTTTTTTGTTGATTAATCTCTATTGAATTATGTTCTGATTGATGTGATTTATAAGATTGTTTTGCTTGAAAACCAAAAAAATATTTCTATATAATTTTCAGTTCCGGATGGAAGAATTTTTTTTTCGTAGTCCTAACAAACTTTCAAATTTTGATGCTACACATCTCTATTCGGCACCCTTCTATGAAAGAGAAATAGAATTCGAATTTTTGTGCCATTACTTTTATATCGTATGTTGTATTTACAAGATATAATATAATATTCTAGAGTTTTTATTATGTATATTCAATATTTGGAATGGAATTATTTGGTGGTGAAGTTGATGATCTTTACAGACGTTATAATCAATCAAATATAACGTGACTATTCTTAATTAATTTTAATTTTTAATGATAAATTATATATTTGTAGAGTTTGTGGCACTTATGAACAACTTGAATATTGGCCAAATGGATTTAATGATTTCTATGCAAGTTAAAAAAAAAAAACGATTAAAATTTAAAACTTTATAGTTTTATTTTATAGTCATCAATTATTACATTGTATAATATAATGATTGTAAATCAATGGTATGTGTTTGTTTATGGATTTCGTGCTGCAACAAATTCAATGTAAAGACTTTGCTTTATCTCTCAGTGTTGTTTTTTTTTTTTTATATTAAATTTCTTCTATTTTCAATAGATGGAGTGAATTATATTTTATATTATGGTATTTATTTGTAACAACTATTGGATTAAATGTTTGTCTTGCATTAAGTGGTGATGTGAGTTTATCATTGTTATGATGATTTTTTTTTCTGTTTTTAATTATTATTATTTTGATTTATTTTAGATTCATGATGCTAAAAAACAACGAGCTGATCAAAATGAAGAATTAATTGTATCGAATATGTATGATATTTATCGGTATGTTAATCAATTAGATTTGAAAAAAAAAAAAATTTAAATTAATAACTTTTTTTTTTAATTAGATCTCATATAAATGAACCATCATCAGAAGAAATTACACGACGATTAAATGAACATCCATATATTAATTTTCGTCAACATTCTAATGAAGAAATAAATTTAGCTTGAAAAATAATATCGTTGTTTTTTTGTATCAGGGATGTGATGACAAGGAGATGAAGAGATGCCAAGGATGCATATCCCTACAATGAAAGGAAAATTGTCATTTTCTCTATCGAAAAATATTCTTTGTATTAACAACAGAGGTCACAGAATGGAAAAAAAAACTAATGTACCCAGTCGCCATGTAAAGTATATATATATATATTACATACCTTACTAATTCTCTGAAAATTTTTCTAACACATCTTCCACTATCACTACTTTTCTTTCTTCACCACAGCTTTGTTCTACACAATTTATTTTTCCATGGTTTTCTAAAAGGTTTTTAAAATAAAGACATTCATGATTTTTTTCCCTTTCCTAGATGACTAATAATCTAGTTCGTTCGTTGTTATCATTTCGTAGCATTAATCCATTAGGTGGATTGATGCGTGCTTTTTCTATTATGTATACTGCTCGTTGTACAGCAACAGGTGATCATAATGGTCGTGTTGTGTGTGATGATGATCGATCACATCTAGATGTGAAATTAACTAAACCAAAAGAACTAGGTGGTTCAGGTGGTTCAGGAACAAATCCTGAAGAATTATTTGCTGCTGGTTATAGTGCTTGTTTTTTAGCTGCCATGGGTTTAGCAGCACAAAATCTTAAAAAATCACTACCATCAGCATCAAGTGTTAGTGCAGCTGTTAGTATTGGTAAACATGATAATGGTAATTATGGTTTCAAAGTTGAATTAACAGTTAAAATACCAAATGCTAAACAAGCAGATGCTGATGCTTTAGTTAAAGCTGCACATAATATATGTCCTTATTCTCGTAAGTTGTTATTATTTTTTTTTTTGATTAAAATAATTAATTTAATATGAAATATTGTTAGATGCAACACGTAATAATATCGATGTTAAAATCAAAACTATAACATAAAATCAACTATGACGAATACTTATTCTTCTATATTAGAGTTTTGTTTTATTTTTTATTTTTTATTTAAATAAATATAAATATATTTTCAATCGACTATCGAAGTTAATATTTTAATGATAAATTATTTTTGTAATCCAATCTGTATAATACGATATTTTTGTATATACACCAAGACCAGCACAACTAAAACCCCATGATATTAAACCAACTAAATGCCAACGACCATTTCTTAACAAAACCATTGGACCGCCTGAATCACCCTACGACAAACAAAAAAGAAGAAGAAGAAAATTTATTTTCGAAATTTAATTTTTTGATTTTCAAATTTACTTGACATGCATCACATGTTGAATTTTGACATAAACCAGCACAGAGAGTTGTTATTGAATTAACATCTTTTAATCTACATTGATCATTGGATTGAATAGGTACTTCAACTTCACGTAAATATCGAAAATTTCCTGTACCATGAGTATCTCCCCATCCAGTAACAAGTGTTCGATCACCAATTTGAATAAAATTTGATATTGATGATAAACATATTGAACGAACAAAAGGATTAAATATAAGTGAATTAGATAATTGAAGTAATGCAATATCATGTACCCACCGAGTTAATTTTCCATTATACGAAGGATACTATATAAAATAAGAAAAAAAAGAATAATTACTATTTTTGAAAAAAATCTTTCAATTTAATATTATATACAACAACAATTTGTTTAATTGTTCTTTTTACTCGTGAATGTTCTACACTATATCGATCGTGTATACCGAATTCGGCCAATAGATTTTCTGGATTTGTTCTATATTGATTCAAGTATTTCTTTTTTCTATTAGACAAAAAAAAAAAGAAAATAAATATATAAAAATATACCCATTAACGCAATGTGCTGCAGTTATGATCCAGTTGGCATTGAGAACCGTTGCTAAATGTTGAAAAGAATCAATTGAGAAAGAAAAAAAAAATAAAAGAAAAAGTTATATTAAGATTTAACCTCCACAAAATTTGCCACGATCATTAAGAAGTACTTGCCATGGATGACTATGTGGTACAGCTTGTCGACCACCAACAATACGACTAGTAACACCACGAGAAAATTTATAACCATTTGTTGATGTTAAACCACATTCTATTTTGAATATAGTTGAAATTCAAATATTGAGAAGTTTTATTTACCAGCATAGTTTTCTGCTGATAAGATAAATGAACTAATTAAATGAGAAGGTGTACTCAATGCTTCTAGAAATCAAAAATCATTCAATACAAGGAAAAAAGAATAATAAAATAGAAAAAACCAAACTCACGTTCTATTTGAATAAGTTGATAATGCATAAAAAAATTTGCATCAAGATAGTAATCATTAAGACGAAATTCAATCATTAATGTTTGTCCTACACCAGCTACACGTACTTTACGACGATCACCACATAGTTCAACTTTTTCATGTTGTAATCCTGGTGTCCATAAATTAACAGAACCACGACGACAACCTGTTTTTAAATATTCTTCAACAGAAATTGGAATAAATATATAATCGAATTCAACAACAATACGCTAGAGAGAATTAAAGAACTTTACATCAAAAAAAAAAATGAGAAATAGAATTCGACAACCTGATGTGATGAACCAACCACTAACCATTGACAATGAATAATTGATTCAGTATTCATCATTGTTGTTTTATTAAAATCAAGAACACCTGTATCATTTATAAAACTACGTAACAATGGACAATCAGATAGTACAACAGCTGGTATTGAATTTATTAAAATAATCATCATCGAAATGAAATTTTTGCCTAAACTTCCGAAGAGAAATATATGAAAATATTTTAAATCGATGATCATCTTTATTTCTTTGTCAACAATCAAGAGTTATTCGTATTATTGTTGTTCTTATTATCATTTTTTAAGCTAGGAGCTACAATAAATAATCAATTTTTTTCTTTTTCCTCTTTCTCGTCAATGTAAAAAAAAAAAAAAGGTATCTTTTAGTTTAACCTTCAAAAAAAAACGAAGAATAAATGTGATCGACACACATAAAAGAAGGTCTCATCATTGTTTGAAGTATGCTGATAGAATTTCTTATTTTGAGAACCTTGATTGAAGTAAATAAGATTTCGTTTTGTTATTTGTTTGTGTTATTGATTCTTTCCTTTTGACTAGACAATTTAACAAAAGACAAATATTACAAAAAGATTTTTTGTTTGCCTCCTTATTATTTTTACAGACTAGAGAACAATTTTATTATACATTTTTTTTGTCATAATAATTGTATAAAGCATTTTTTTTCCTCACACTTTTGCGTGACTTCAATTCGACAGTTAATTTTATCCGACTTCTTTCTCTTATTCTTTATTTATTTGAGTATATACGTAATAAATTACGAATAAAAGTATTTATGCAAATGATCACATTATCACGAAGAGGTCAGTTCTATTATTTATTACCATCCTTGAATTATGTATATTTTATCGTTTAGAGTATATATACATACTAAGTTTATCACTAACAAAAATAAAAAATATGTAAAAACACGAACAATGTTATAATCAAGTGTATACACAAAAATGAAGAACAACAGAAATTTTGTCGACTTCATCAAATGTCAAGTTCTGATAAGCGCCAAATAGTGGCACGTTTTATGTGTAGGTTGAATGATGAAAAAATAAGAGTAGATGTGAGTAATAATAATAATATTACTAACATTGAATTCTTCAGAATCTATGTATCAACAATGCGATAGTGCCAGATGCGGGGGTATATATACATGCATAGAATACGAGTTATATATAACTTTTTTTCCTCTCTCTCTCTCTACTCATATTGCATTCTCCCGCATGCTGAATGCATATTATGATTGCGAGCGTGTGTGTGTGTCGATAAACTTAGTAGTAAGTAGATGTGTATGTGCTCAATTGGCTTGCCTATAGGCTTGCTTTTTTTTTTCTTCTCTCTGGCTTTTTCGTCAGTTGTACAGTAGTAAAAAGAAGAACATATACAAGACTATTGTCCAGTACCATTGGCCGGTCATTGACTCACGCTGGCGTCTTTCTTTTTCTCTTTACTGTCGATGATAAAAAAAAAAAGAAAAAAGAAAAAAGAAAAAAAAAGAAACTAATCTATATGTGCGCTATTGCAATCTCTTGCGTGGTTATAGTAGTAGTGCATATGGGAGAAAAAGAGAGCAACATAAAGAGAGGGAGAGAAAAAACGAACGGAAGGACGACGACCAAAACAAGCAGTAGTGGTTTGTATACAGTGGAGAGTAAGCTGCTTGCATGCTACCTCCTCTTTTATCGACACAACAATGATTATGACTTGATCGTTAAGGTTCAGTCTTTCTTTCCGTTCTTCTTTTTCTTCTTTTCTCTGCTTACTGAGACACCGATGATAGATGGTGATGATGATGATGATGATTCCAAGTCAAACACAATTTGATTCTTCCCCTTTCCGTTGCCTTTCTCGTATATATATATATATATATATATTCATTCTAGACTATGTGCATTTACAAAAGTATTGAACGAATTATTCGTAAGCTGATTGAAGTTTTTTCTTTTCATTATAGCTTATTACTTTTTTTTTTGGTCCTTAGTATTTATATTATTATATAATCAAAAAAAAAGAGAAAAAAGAAGAAAAAAGTTATATTATTAGAGAAACAGAAAGATCTTGAGAATATAAACAAAAATTCTTTTATCGTAAAACATGAAAGGTATGTATCTTATCAACATATTTTCTATATAAATAAAATCTTTGATTTTATACTTAAGAAAACTCAATATTTTCTTTTTTAAATATCTTCTGCACTCTAGTGATGTCGCTCTTATTCCAATGGACCATTGGCTAATTTAGTTTATTTATTTTTCTAAAAAAACAAAAAAAAAAAAAAAGAAAAACTTCACACATTATTTATATTCTTCTAGATGCATAATATATAAATTAAATATTATTATTGTTATTTTTTTTTTTGGTATTTGATTTAAAAAACAAAATAACAACAAAAAGAAATTATGTCAAGTTTTCTTCCATCATCATCTCATACAAATGCTGCTAGTAGTGGTATGAATACATTGCAACGTTCAACAGTGAACAATGCTGCAGCTGATGCATTACGAAAAAAAATGCAACAATTACGTGATGAACTTGAACAGGTTAAAGATGATTTAGAACGTTCACGTAAAGATTTAGAAAAAGAACGAAATGCTCGTGAAACTGTATGTTAAATATTTAACAAAAAAAAAATTGTTTTTTGATTTAAAAAAGAATAATAATTTATTTAGGCTGATTCTGAAGTTAGTCAATTAACACGAAAACTTCATTCATTTGAAGAACAACTTGAACGTACAGAAGAACGTTTAGTTCAAACAACAAATAAACTTGATGAAGCATCACATACAGCTGATGAACGAGAACGGTTTGTTTTTTTTTTTGTTTTATGAAGAGTTTAATTTCTACTATTAATTTTTAATTTTTTTTTTCTTTTTAGATCAAGAAAAATGCTTGAAAATCAATTAAATCTTGGTAGTGATCGTACAGAACTACTTGAAATGCAATTAAAAGAAGCTCGTGCACTAGCAACAGAATCTGATAAAAAATATGATGAAGTTAGTTGTTTGATTTAGTTTTTGATTCCTATTTTTTATATTTTTATTTTTAGGTAGCACGAAAATTATTAATTCATGAAAATGAACTTGAAAAAGCAGAAGAACGTGCTAAACGAGCAGAAACGTAACTTAAGTTTTTTTTTTTTTTGTATTAATATTAGATTTGATTGAAGATTTATTTTTTCTTTTTATTTGCTTAGGAAATGTACTGATTTAGAACAAGAAATGAAAAATCTTCATCATCAATTAAAATCCTATTTGGCTCGTATTGATGATGTAATATAGAATTAAATTTTGAATATAATTTTAATGTGAATCAATGATTTCTTTTTTTTAAATATAGGCTCAAAATAAAGAACAAACATGTGAAGATCAAATTCGTCGTCTTTCTCAACATTTAAAAGATGTAAGTTTATAGGCATTCTTTTTTTTTCTTAGAGAGATCATTTTTTAAAGATATAAATAAAAAAAAAAACCTAGGCTGAACGACGATCAGATCTTGTTTTTAAAGAACGATATGATCTACAAAAAGTAGTAGAATTTTTTGCAGGTAGTTTATGAGATATGATTTTGATTTTTCATAGATATTATGTTTTTTCTTTTTCATTGTGCATTTTATTTGTTTTTTTTTTCCTACCTGCATGATTTTTTTGATTGCTGTGTTTGCATGTCTAGGCTGAAACTCGCGCCGAATATTCTACCAAACAAGTACAACGACTACAGCGAGAAGTGGATACACTTGAAGGTTTGTAATGAGAGAAAAAAAAAAAGATGGTATTTTATGGCTTATTATACATATATTCAGTACAATTTTTATTTTTCATGCTTTGAATGTTAATTTGGTTTTTCTGCATATAATTTATTTAGAATGAATTTCAAAGTTGTAGACTTAAATAGATTAGTGGATAGTTTATACATTAAATAATATCAATCATGTACATACAAAGATATAAGAATTCATCGGCAGGGGTATTCCCAAGCAGAAAACGGACGATCGTAGACATGAGTGGCACCATCTTGAGCATATTTTGTTTAAAACACATGAATCGTGACAATATGACATTCGATACAAGGTTTACACGATCGTAAAAGAGATCGTTTTCAATGAAAGAATGTTGCTTCTGATTCCAGTTCCGGTCAAAAACGAATTTGGTCCCGGTTCCGATAAAAAAAAAATAATTTGATTCCGATCCCAATTAAAAAAGAATTCGATTCCGGTTCCGGCCAAAAAAAGAATTAGATCCTGCTTTCAATCTAAATAGAATTTCAGCTCGACCCGGTCGAGATTCTCTTGTTCATATCGAGACGGATATCCCCATCCTGATGATCTCCAGACATCCATTCTTAATCGAAAAGTTGCAATCATTTCTGGTAGATCCATAAAAAAAAATCTGTTCTTTGTTTTTTTAGAATGACATAATAAGTTTTTGTTTATTTCAAATATAATTTAAAAAATAGAGATGTAAGTCATGATTGATATTGAGTTTCAACAATCGAGAAAATTTTTTTGAAAAACTTTTTTTTCATATTTTATTTTAATAAGTTAACATGTCATTTTCTATTTGTAGAAGAATTACAAACTGAACGTGATCGTTGCAAAACTCTTCAAAACGAAATGGAACGTTGTTTCTCCGATTTACAACTACTTTAAAAAAAAAATATCTCAGGATGAACATTCTATTGTATCGTTTATATCTTTTATCATCTGTCATACATTCATTTGCTACAAAAACATTTTTTTTCTTATATTATTATTAGCACACAATCCCAGTTTGTCTAATTGTCAATATATCATCATTTGTGTGTATGTGTGTGTGTTTCATTTCGGTTTTTTTTTTCTTTCTCAGTCTCTTTTGTTCAAAATAAAGTAATCACGTTCATATATTGTACTTATCTATTCTCTCAGATCATTTCTCTGTAGTCATTTTAGTTTAATTCGTTCAGATCTACTATATAGTCAAATGAGAGATTTTTATTATTATTATTATTATTACCATGATTTTACTTCTTCTTTTCATTTGTCTTGTATTCGTAACAGTGAACATTAAAAAAAAAAAAAGAAAATTTCCATCGTTGGAAACAAAAATCCTTTTTTATATATACACACATATACATATATATATATATATCCATGCATTCTTCAGATGTTTATACAATCGTGGGACGAATTTGCTAAACAAGCTGAACGACTTTATCTTAATGATCCAATAAATTGTCGTCTTTGTTTAAAATATCGAAATGAAATGCTTATATTACGTTTAACTGATAATCATACATGTCTTCAATATAAAACCAAATATGCTCAAGATGTGAAAAAAGCTGAAAAATTTATGTCAAGTCTTTTACGTCATATGGCATCGAAAGAAACATAAAAAATAAATTATTTTTTTATTTGTTATTGTTAACCACGAAAAAAAAATTGTTTTTATTTTTATTGTTAACTAAGAAAAAATAAAATAAAAAAAACACGAAGAAAACAAAATAAAAGGATGATGTAAGAATTTTTAAGTTGAACAAAATATCATAAAACTTGAATTGTATTTTTCAAGTATTCATCATATAGAGACATCAAAGGAAAAAATCCTCTTTTTTTTTTCAACTCTTAATTTTTACGATGTGTGCTGTTATCAATTCGCACCTTTTTCCTTTTTTTTTTTTTCGTGTTTCTCCTATGTGTTCTGTTCTCTCTTTAATATGAACACATTTAACCGAATGATTGAGACAATATATATGAATCTTATTTTTTTTTTTTATCTTCTTTCATCCATTTGAAATTTATTGATTATTACATGAGAAGAATGAACATGGTAATTAACAAGCAATCGACTAATGATACATAGAGAAGAAGAGACTTTGATCAATGATACCGACATTTTAATCATTCTATACAAATATCTTTTTTTTTTTTTTGAAATGAAATAATGAAGTTGAAATTTTATTTTCGATAATTGAAAAAAAAACACAAGACAAAAACAAAAAGAAAATCAATGCTTTATACAATGTCCATTGAATTAAGAAGAAAAAGAAGAAGAAGAAGAAGAAGCAAAAGAAAAAAAAATCATTGTTCGACTAGAATGTGCAATAAGAATTAAGAATAAAGTTTTTTTCTTTTTTATGTGCTTGTTGTTGTTGTTGTTGATTCATTCACTGCATGTGATAAAAAACTTGCTAAACCCATGGCTGGTAACGCAAAATTGATTGTAGGTTTTATTGGTGAATGTTGTTGATGATTTTGTTTTGGTGATGAACTAGATGATGTTGGTGATGATGCCGATGAACATGATGTTATTGTATCTGTTGATCCATTGAGTATTTGTGATGTTGGCATTGGTCGAATTTTTGTAGTTGCTAATCGAACAGCAGCTGTTGTTAAAGGATTTAGTGGTGGTAATACCATTGGATTAATACCCGATTGAGATGGAACATAACTTGAAGCAGCAGCTGCATACATATAAGAAAAATATGAAAATGGATCACCAGGATAACCTGGCCAAGCAAATGCTAATTTTTGTCGTTTATCTTTCATTCGACGATTTTGAAACCAAACCTAAAGAAGATTTTAGTTTTTTATTTCATTTTAAATAAGAAATAGAATAGTCCAATGGCAGATTTAGGGAGCAGAAACAATTGCTCCTCCCTTCGGAAATATTTTTCTCAACAGGAAATGCCTTAAAATGAACCGATATAATCTCTAACCGACTTCAAAAGATATTTTATGATCATCAGGGATGATCCAATCGGGAGTATGCCACCCCCGGATCAAAAAGACTTTGTTTTTTTTCCAGTGAAGCAGTGTTTTATACAGACGTGCGTTTCCCGAGAGGCGACAAACCCTCATTGTTGAATGCACAATAACTACAAACTCTGAGAGGCCCAACGCCTCCACACTGAGTAAAACACTGTAGCAAAGATAAAAATTTGCTGTGCACTTTCTTAGAAAAAACATTGCAACACTCCCACACTCCAATTTTGGTTGTCTCGGACAGGTCCTTATGACCATGATCGAACCCCTCTCTTCTTTCTCAAAATTCTTACTTTAATAGTTGATTCTGGTAATTGTAATTCAGCTGCTAATTCACAACGTCTTGGTCGACTAACATAATTTTCACGAAGAAATTCTTTTTCAAGTCTTGCTAATTGTTCACGTGAAAATGCTGTTCGATATCGACGAATATTATCATCATTAGAATTTGTTGAATTCATATTATTATTTTTATGATTGATTAAATGACCATTTATATTTGTTGAATCGTCTGTGAAAAAGAACAAAAACAAAAAAAGAAAATTTTTGTTTTTATAAAAAAATTCATTTTCATCATACCATTATCATCAGATAAACATTCATCAGAAAATATTCCTGAATTAGTTCCTAATAGATATGAATTATTAGTACCTAACATGATTGTTATTTTTTTCTTCAAATGAAATCTTCGATTATCAATATTATAGCAGACAATTTCTCTCTCTTCTCATTTTTCTTTTTTTTTTTTTTCTTTTTATTCTTCACATCATTATCACGCTCGTTCTCCTGACGATTATTCGTTCTTTTAGATTAATAATTGTATGTAAAAAGAATAAAATAGATGCTATTGGTTGATAGAAATGAAGAGAAAAAAAGCAAAATAATTAAAAACAATGACTGGTTAACTATTCTTTTCGAAATGATCATGTTAATGACGAAGAGAACGAGAGATAGAGAGAGATAGAGCAAATAATTGCTAATATCATTAAATATAGAATGAACGTGAGGTGTGAACAATGAGAAGCATAATTAACAGTTTATTCTTTATGAAAATCGGACTAATGTAAATAGATATTGTCGTCTCGTCAAACGGATAAGACTTTGCATGAACAATTGAGATGAGACATATTACAAATAAAAATGAAATATATACAAAGTCAGACATAAATGTCGTTGATTGTTTTGTTTTTTTCCCTCTTCTTTTTTTTTTTTAAATATTAGATACAACTAATTGGCTCAACAAGACAAAAAAGAAAGGCTCCGCCCTCTCTTCACAAACGTTTGTCTTCTTTCACAAAAAAAAAAAGAACATTTGTATCGGACACATTTGATGGTTTATATACGTTCATTTAACATTTTTAAGGGTCAATAAACATTCATTTTCTATGGCCATCATACCATGGCCGCTAGCAACAAAATGGTATGTCGTTAATCAATGATAGATAATCACACGTTTTCACCTGACCTCCGCCTTACGATCGATTAAAACAAATCGTTATTTTGTTTTTCTTTTCAAAATAGAAAAGAGACATTATTCTTTTTTTTTTTTAATCTCATTAAAGGTTTTGTTACTGATTGAAAGCACAGGTGTCTGTTATTCTGTCTATTCAGATTGATTTCATATGCCATTTATTAGTAGATTACTACTATCAAAAGATCAAAGTAGAATGACTCTTTACTTATACGTTGTTGCATCAACAAAAGGGGACGTCAGGGATTACTTTTTTATTTTTATTTTTTTCTCATTTACTTTGCGTGTGACGGACAAAGCGTAGGTTGGTGTCTTCATTTTCTCGACACTTTACTATCATGCAAAGAAACGATTCACATACTGATATTAAGTTGGCATCAATAAAGGTTAACATTAAATGAATTTGATTTAATAATTAATCTAATGGTAGAGCCAAGAGTATGTAACTCAACCTCTTCCAGAAACTAAACGAATCTATATTATTAATGAAGAAAATATTAATATTTCAGCTTCAAGCAGAGGCGTTGAACTTTACTACTAAAACTAAGCGAATATTAAGATTCGATCTTTTTTCTTTTTTTTTGCTAAATGTTCGATGATTGAATAGAACATAAAAATAAAAGGTTCTACATATGAGTGACTTCAATCATTTTTATCACATATGTGTAACTGTTATAAAAAATAAACACAGCAGTAGCATCGATTCACTTTCACATGTCAATGTTTACTTATTTTGTTTCTTTCTTTTTTGTTTTCTCTATTCATATCTTCGACTTTACCGCTAATGATTCGATCGATATTATCATTGGGAAATAAATTTCAACACGAAATAAACCGACAAAAAGATTTAATAGAAAGATAAAGATTTTCTTTTTTAAAATAGAACTATAATCAGGGGTATCCTGAGGTCACCAAGATTCTGGGAGGAAATGTTTTTTTTGAAGCTTTTTCTACTATGAAAAAATCTTTTGAAAGAGAAACGATCGCTCCTAGCGTTCGTTCTCTAAATTCGCCATTGTCGTGACTATTGAGAAGGCAAGATTCACCGAAAATCGTTTAATTTCACTAGGGAAAAATGGAATTTTTCAAAGATTGCGAAATCACTCCTGACTAGAATCATATATTTACTGTTAACTGATCATTATAAAAATAAAGTACAACCATAAATATTGTCTTTCTATGACACCATATGATAACAAAACTTTCGATTAGTACATGTTATTGTCGTTTTCTATTACTGATCAAGTCTCATTTAACATACTGACATCTGTTTGAGACTTCCCATAATGGCATCTCATCTTATATCGGTTTGCTCAATATTCAGATGTTCTACTTCTAAGACACAACTAAGAAGAAGAAGAAGAAACAAAAAAAAAAGAAAAAAGGTCAAGTAAGAAACTTACGATTGTCAATGATGCTATTGTCATATGTAAAAGAAATCTCGTCACAATCCTGATGATTTTGCTTGTAGATACCCATATTGGTTAGAGACTAAAGAAAAAAATGATGATTTTATGATTTCAATTATATATATATATATATTATATGTATATGTTCGATGATTTTTATGATGGAATAAATGATTATGATCGAAATGAATTGATTTTTTTCTTTCTTTCTTTCTTTCTTTGCTTTTCGATTCGTTCGTTTGTTTTTTAAATCGTTATACAAAACCAATCATTAGGTGCGATGATTCTATATATATATATATATATCAATAGTAATAACTATTTTTCGCACGATTGAATGTTTGAAATAAAAAAAAAAGAAAACGGAAATGTTTTCTTTGTTATTCGATAGAAATAATTTGTGATATCATTTGTGTAAAAATTAATCTTAATTAACAGTTTAAAATTTCATGTTCTTTCTGGATCATTTCATATTTGTTTGAAATGGTAATTTTTTTTTCTTGTGTTGTTGCTGTTAAGTTCGTTCATTTTACAACTTTCTCTTTTTTGCTATTTTTCTATTTATAACATGCGCATCAAACTCTCAAGAGTCATTATACAAATGAAAACAATAATAACAAACAAAAGAATAAAGACTTTCTATGATTAACACGTTTAGTCAAGAGTCGTTACACATTTCAATCAAAGGATTCACACATGTACAATGATATTGTGTTATGTTGTTACTGCTCGATTGCATCTCACAAAAAAGAGAGATCAAAAAGAAAAAAAAATGTATTGGTGACAGTCCTTGAATAATAAAAATGAATATATATATATATATATATATATATTTGCTTAATATAATCTTTTTTATGAGTTTGACTTACGTCAAAGAAATTCGTCATTGCATTGCTCTAGTTTCTTGTCAAGTATACAAATAAAAAAATCGGCGTCAACATTTACTTAAAAATGATCCGTTAAATTGATTATATAGGTTTTTTTTTCTCTCTGTTATTAAATCTATGTGATAGAAAATAAAATGTTCAAACGAAGACACAGATCATAAATCATTCTGTTCATCTTCATTAGATACGCAAAATGAAATTAATTTTTTTTACTTGCTTTGTCATTTTTTTTTCTTCCTCGTCTTCTTTTGAACATAGGACCGCCCACGAAATCAACAAAAGAAATTTTATCAGATAAGGATGAGAAAGGCGGTGGCATCAATTGATTTTTTCTTCTCTTTTCTCGTGTTTCGTTCACCTGCAAATAAATTTGTTGTCATCTTTTTGTTTTAGAAAGAACCATGCATTACCGTTTCGCGTGTATGAATAGATAAAGATACTATCCACACGCATTTTGTTGTATTTCTTTGATCTAATAAGTAAAAGATGCATGACTCTATTCGGTAGCTTAAATAGATGATGAAAATTAGTTAAACTTGTTTTTCATTATCGATTGATGACCTTTTGCAGGACATATGTAATTGTTTCAGTATACAAAGAAAGAAAGAAAGAAATGAAAATGATTTTTAAATGAAGCATAGAGAGTGAGAGTATAAAGAAAACATTTGAAGTGATTTCGTACTATTCAAAACTAGATGAGTAAATCTGTGGATATTTGACTCCTTTTTTTTGTCGTGATAGGCACATGGAAAGAGATAGCGAACATATTGAACATTCACTAGAAACGTCTGACGAAGGTCTTATGAATGATTTCTAGCTTTTGAGTTTGTATTTTGGCCATGAGTAGAGGACATTTAAACCAGTGAAACTTCCGAAGGATTCTTCTTTTTTATTGAAATTTGACCGAGGTATGTAAATGTTTGGAAACACTGGCGATTTTTCATATTTTTTATAGTTTTAGAACAATACTATGTATTGAATCATTTATACCTCGGTTCAATCTTAATAAAAAGAAGAATCCTTTGGAGATTGTACGAGATTAGATGTTCTCTAGTTATGAACAAAATATAATCTCAAAAACTTGAAATCCCTTATGCTACTTTCATCAGATGTTCCTAGAAACTGCACACAATCTCCGTCATATGTCGGCAAATTTTGTCGATCAAAGCTGTTTTCTAATTATTTCCTATGTAAATCGCATAATAAAAGCAATAAGATACGTATTGGATGCACCCAAATGTGAAACTAGTGTTGTAACAGGAAAATCGAGCAAGGAAAGACTTGACTTCCAAGTTTTTTCTTGTGAACTTCTACAGGCCATCAAAAGATAGTTTTTGAAGCATAAAATTGTATTTTTCTTGGGCAGATTAACCGAAGTTAGATAATTACCATCATTTGAGAGATTTTCTTAAAAAACATTTTATCACAAAACAATGAAAGTCAAATCTCTCTTATACTAACACTTTCATATGAAAATTGTTTCAGGTTTTGCAATTATACAGAACAGTGTGATAGTTAGAAAGATTCAAATGTTTTGTTTCTAAGAATGTTGATTAAAACTTTATATAGTCGAAATGTCATTGTGTAACTTCAGTTTACACTGATATGACAGAATTTATATATGATTGAATCTTCAAAAACAGTAATAGTTTTGTTTTTGTCGTCTTTTTTCAAAACATTCTATCAAAAAGAAATTTCCCATACTCTTCAAATTGCATGCATCATCTTCTTGTATTGAAGCATTCGGCAAAAATGACTTTTAGTTAAAAAAAATTCTCTATATTTTATTTTTCTGTTATTATAAGTAGTCATTTTTAGTATTGAATAAAGAGTTTTATAAATTCGTGTTTTATAGTACTTGTCAAAATGACTGAAAAGCAAAACTTACAGCAGTGCTCGAACGAGGAAGTACTCTAATAGCATCCAACTCAATCAGAATTCGACATCTTCCAGTAGTTCTTCTTACTTCTGAAATGCTCAACTAACTGAAAAGGAACGGAAGTGGAAATCGAAGAATGCATTTCTCAGCACAGTTCTATTAATCGTACGGTGTATATAAAATTCTGATTCAATAGTCCGTAGTTTTGGTCATGGTGAAACTGTAGCAATATAATCATTAGTAACTGATCCTATTGGTGACAATATATTTTGTTATTTCATTAAATGCAACAATAATAGGAACTGTTAGTAGTGAGTTTTTAGTTTTTTCGAATTTATCATTGATCCTCTTTAATATAGTGTATTTACACGAAAAATAACATATTTTTCGATTTGGTTTAAAAAGACTTTATTCATTTGTTTACTTTTACGAGACTCACTTAAAAGAATAATCACCATACCAGTGGTGGCCCAAGCGAGGAAGTCAGGAAGGTCACACACTCCCCCTGAATCTTGAAAAACTTTTGTTTTTTTCCAATGGAGTATCAATATTTTATTATTATTTTTGCTCAGCAATGCCCAAAAAAATACCGTTCAACTTTAGCAAGAATCTTTCAATCATTGACAACCTTGCATTATGTGATCTCTTTATGAAACGCATCCCAGTGCTTTAGAATTAATTCAGCTTTATGATTTGATTTATATTCTACGTTCTGTTAGATTATCAAGGAAAAGGATTCTCAATAAATTGAAGATAATAAAACTAAGCCTTCCGAGTCTTTTAATTCTTTTGTATGAAAAATGTTTTTTTTTGGAATAAAAAGGAAATACTCATTGAAATATCAAATATCAAGTTCTTACTGTCGTGTGGCGCCATCTTAAAAACAAAGTACAATAACAACAAGAAAAAAAACAAACTTTTATTAATTAACTGTCCTATTAGTTTTATTTTCTCAGAAATTTTTATTATTTTTTTTAATCTATTGAATTAATCACATATATTAAGTACACAAAGGCGTCTTTATTTTCCTTATGGCAAACAAATAAGTGCATAGCAATTGTCGATACACGCAAACTACATTAACAAATAGATAAAAAAAAAAACACATCCGATATTAATCATTCCCTTTTTCTGCATATAATTTTTATCTATTAATGAGTCGTCGTAGTGCAAAACGTCCACGTTTTAGTGTTGGTGGTCAACCCGTATTTGAAAATGAAGATTCATCAAATCATTCTGGTCTTGCTGTAATTGATTATGATGATAATTCATTATCACAACAACCTGAAACATCAACAAATAGTTCTGATCAACATCATTTTCCTCAACATCAATTTGTTCCTGAACGAACAAAATCATTAATTCAACGATCAACAATAAAATATTCAAATGATGATAATACAAATTTAAATGCATGTCTTGATCATCTTTTACGTTTACTATCACGTAAAGATAAAGAAGGTTTTTTTCAATATCCTATTACTGATCAAGTAAAATTATTAGATAAAAATAAAAAAGAATTTCGTAAACTAAAAATTGTTTTCTTTATTTTTTTTTAGCTTGCACCTGGTTATTCACAAATAATTATTCGTCCAATGGATTTTTTTACAATGAAAAAAAAAATTAATCAAGATGAATATTTAAATATTCTTGAATTTCGTTCTGATTTTGAACTTATGTGTGATAATGCTATGAAATATAATCGTCCAGATACAATTTATTGGCAAGCAGCTAAAAAATTGTTAACAACAGGTCATAAATTAATGAATAAAGATAAATTATTAAATTTTCGTCGTACAATTGAATGTTTTTCACGTTTAACTGAACGTGAATTTGGTTTTCGTATTGATACAATAAATCATACAAATGATGAACAATTAATAAATTCAAATGAACAAATTGATACAACATTAAATGATAATGATAATTTAATTAATCAAACAAATATACAACGTAAAACAAAATTAATTTTAAAATTACCAAGATATTATGAAAAATTATCAACATTACTTGTTGATGAAGAAGATGATGATGAATTATCACCAGAAGAAATACTTTCTCAAGCACAACAAGCTGGTCAATGTGCACGTGAAAAATTAAGTTTACGTCGTCCTATTTCAGCATATAAACTTTCATATCAACGTATAAATGGTACAACATCATTACGTTTTATAAATCAAGATGATTTATCTCAACAACAATCTCAAACACGTACAATAACAATTGGTGAATTAAGTAATATGCCATCAAGTGCTGGTGGTCCATCAGCTAATGCATATCATCCACATCCAATACCAATTGTAAATGAAAGTGAAAAACGTAATCATTTATTACCAAGATATTTTCTTGATTATGGACCATTTTCATCACATGCACCACAATATGATACATCATTTACTTCAATATCAAAAGATGAACTTGATTTATTAATACATACATATGGAAGTGAATTTTCTGCACAATATGCTATTTCATTAATTGATTATGTTAAAGATACAGGAGATTTAGCTTTAACTTATGTTGATCGATTTTTATCAACATTAACAAATGGTAGACATGATAATTTAAATATGAAACAAGGAAAACAAACGAATGAGAGTAAGTTTAAATTTTAAATTGTTTTCATTTTGTTGTGAAAAATGTTCTTATTGAATAGATATGGATATAAAATGGTTTCAGTTCGCCGGGATCAGTAGTAATCATTATCACAAAACGTATCTTGAGGATAATCAGAGTTCGTGCAGACTCATTGTCGGACATTTTCTGTTGAGAAAAGAATTTCGGAGGGGAAGGACGGTCATCGTCAGTGTCTCTCATCTAAATACACTATTGACTGGGACAAAAATCAACACTTTCATTAGGAATAGAACGAAGAATACTCCTGCCTTTCGGCTACTTTGTAGTATGGAGTGCTGCCTAGTGACAGATTCAGTAGTCTAATATCTTCCCTACGGTTAATATTACAGTCATGTAAAACTTGTGTCGAATGTCATATTATTATGACTCATGTGTTCTAAATAGATATGTGCGGGATGGGGTCCAGGGTTGGAACTGGTAAGAGATTGATAAAACGGTCCGGTCCGGTCGGTTAAAAGTTGCTCTTGAACTGGTGAATTTCCGGCAAATCGAACGGTAACTGATGAAGTTGATTTCTTGAAAGTTATTCCAGATAGCCAAACCATGCTAGAAATAGAATCGATGGCGTCAATTCCAGCTTTGTACTTGATTAGCTAATGGTTAAATAGAACTATTCAAGCTGTTTGATACAGATCTTCATATTATAGGTATAGGCAACTGAAAATTGTCTTTTCTCATTAACTTTCAAAGAATAAGATCACCTTCTGAAGAAATTCGGTTAAGAAAAACTATTTTGAAAATATATTTTAGAGAATTTCAGTTCTTGATGAAATATGATTAAAACTTTCAACAAGCATGTAGGAAACATGTGTAATCTTTACAATTCATCAAGGGTGTGAGTGTGAGTGTCGTCTTAGACAAGATCAACGTCCACACCCTTGTTTCATCTTCTTTATAGTAAAATTCATAAAGTACTTTTTTTTTTAAATTTCAACCGGCAGATTTCCGATACTGTCCGGCCCGCTTGACTTTCTAAACCGGTCCGGTTCCAACCCTGGTGGAGTCCCACTCATCTACTAACGGATGAACTGTAATGAATTGAACTAAATGTCAATGCAATTTTTCAATTATTGACTTATACTTATGTAACAAAAGATAAAGAATTTCAAGCTCAACAAAAAAATGTACTTGACTTTTTAAAGAGAATATTTTTTCAATTCCGTAGAAACTAACATACTGACGTACACTATATACAGGGTGAGTCATAAATAGCATTAAGATTTTAAAAAACTTGAAATATCTTCGTGTCAAGTCAATCAAATGAGCTGAATTTTTGGATTACTTGTAGAAGTTTATGCAAAATTTTTTTCCCTCATGCGCATAAGATAAACAAATACTACTATATTAAGTATTATTGTTAGTATCACGAAAGCAATGTTTATCTATTATCAAATAAGAAAAAAATATACGTGTAGTGTTTCATAGATAATTTTTAGTTGTTTGTATAAGAGAAGAAACTAAAACGAACTTTATAAATCATACTATGCTAAGGAAATTTTCAAATACGAAACATTGGTTTTTGCAAAGAATTTAATATTCTGGTGCCGAAAGAGGTGTAATGATGTATTTTACTTTATGGAGTACGAATTCATGTAAAAATTTAGCACACAATAAAATTTTACATTCATTCTGGATTCTTTTTGCTTTTTTTATAAATTTTACCGAAAAAGAAATGTCGCACTGTGGTTTCATCAGCCACATAGTCTTATAGAAAACAAAATTTTGCATTAAGAATACTTTCAAGAGATCTTCAACTTCCTAGAAAAATTGAATTACATTAAAAATCTCGAAAGATATCTTCTCATTCTATTATTTCTTAACTTGTTTCATATAAATTAATGAATAGTCTATGTAAGGAAAATTATATTTCCCATATAGTCAAATTCATTATAACTTAATCGTTATTTTTATTTATAATAATTTAGTTTCATCTAATGAACAACAATTAAATAATTCAAATCATATTACAACATCAGATACAATTAAATTAGAATCAAATATAAATTCTAATGATAATATTCAACATCAATTAGATATGAAATTAGACGAAAATGCTAAATTACTTGTTCAATTACGTCAAGCACAATATGATCGTTTATGTCAACCATCAAATAAAATTCATCAAATAATATCTTCGTCTCAACAACAACAACAACAACAACAACAACCAAATGAACCTCTTAATGAAAATGATTTAGCTGAAAAAGTTCTTTATAATCTCAATGATATGACACATATGTCATCAAATGGTCCTGAACAAGTCATATCACCTGAAGCAATTCGTCATAATCTTGGTATTATTATTCATAATGAATCCCCAAACATTGATGAATTGTAAACAAAAAAGTTTTTTCTTTTTATTTATTTTGTACAAACGGATTACTTTGTTTTCCTTTTTGTTGTTGTTATTGTCCAAAAAAAAAAACAAACTAAATAAATAGATTAGGGACAGTGATGATATTCTAAATGTATACATATATGTGTCTATTTTTCAGATAAACATGCGACAAGATATAAAACACATACCAAATCAAGATCTACGTTTTACACCACTTCGTTCATTAAATGATTTTCTGCTTGATGCAACATGGAATACACCAAATTTTTCGGATTTTCAACGTTTAAATAATCGTATTGTTAGTAATTTAATTTACTATCAAACAAATTATTTTGTCTTTGGTATTGCTCTATTTCTTCTTGTTGGGTAAGAAAAATTTTGTTTATAGAAAAAAACAAAAAATTGAATAGATTTGTTTTTTTTTTAAATAATTTCTTTTAGAATTAATTATCCAGTTGATTTTCTTTTTGGCTTAGTTGTTGTTATGGCTGTATTAATGGGTTTTATTTATATATCATCAGCACCTAGAGTTGGAAATAATCCATTAGCATCGGTCGAAAATTTTTTTCGTTCAGCTAAAGAAGATCGACCAATTATTGTTCTTATTGCTGTACTTGGTATTTCATATTTAATTTTAAGTTTTATTGGAAAATTATTCATTTTTTTCCTTGGTATTGTTTTACCTATTCAAAGTTTGTAGTTTTTGTTTTAATAAGTTCTATTATTAAATTTTACTTCGTTTTTTATTTTTTTTTTAGTTATTATTCTTCATGCAACATTTCGAAAACGAAATTTAGCAAATAGAGTAACAAATAAAATTGATCAAATTGGTATTCAATCAACACCAATGGGTCTTTTTCTTAGTGCTCTTGGATTACGTAGTCCAGCATTATTAGAATTCAATTAAAATAAAACATGACCTTTTTCTTTTCCTTGATTATTGATTTTCTCATATTATTTTCGCTATATTATTTTGATGGTATGGTTCAATATTCTTCTACTATGCGTATTAGAGTATTTTTTCTACCATAATAAATATTTTAAAGTATGAACATATACTTCTTATTTCATTGATGAATAAGATAATAGTTTAAGGAAATAAATTACAAAGATTGATATATATATATAATCTCAAAACAGTAGATTCCACTTGATTGTTCTGAATTCATCGGATTTTAGACATTGAAGGAAATTCAATGCATTCTAAGATGAACAAGGCTAAAAACATTGACTGGTGTCCTACAATCCAGTTTGATACCCGGCAATTAATGAGATCTCGACGTTTCAAAATTTGTTCACTGTTTTCAAACTGCTAATTGATATAAAAGTAGAGGAATGAAAACTGGTTCGATTATGATTGAGCAATTTATTGTACTTGACAACAAGTCACAGAAATGGAAAGTAGTATTGTTTTACTAAAAGAATTCGTTTTTTTCTTAATGAAAATTCATCTATAGATGGTGAGGAACCATATGACGAACTAATTGAATACATAAAGAGGAAAAGAAATTATTAAAAAAGTCAACATGTATTATCATCATAGGAAAAGCATTCATATACGTATCCATAATTATGATGTTTGGTACTAACAGAGCGTTATCTGCAACAAGCAAATATATACTTAGCAAAATTGATTGGATTTTAAAAGTAGAAAAACACCAAGTAAATAATTAGATTTGTTTTATATATTACGTTGATATTTTCAACCAAGCAGCAATTTTTCTGAAGTTTCTTGCTTGTTAACTGAAAGCAAACTACTATAGAATAATTTATAATTCTGTTTTGATTATTCATATCCAAAAGAAAAACTCAATCGAATAGTTGACATATTCAATATTCTTCAACTATCGAAAAAACATGAGTTGCCTGAGATGAATTCAAATGTAAATGAGCTTCTACGAGTTTGATGTCATTTCGAAAATAAATGAAAAAAATTTGAACCAACACTTTCATGTTACAATAGCCAAAGATAAATTTTTATCTCAGTAATCCATTATCCGGATCACATTTTTACTATGGTAATTAATTTTTCAAAGGTTTTATTATAGGCTTTACTAAATCAAAAATTTATCTTTGTCCTTAGCTATGTAAGTGCCGATGATATTTTGATTTATTTTTGAACTTGAATTAGACAGCTAGTTACTCCGAAAAACATCAATATTCATGACCGATTATTATTTGTTGAAACCGATGATTAATCACACTTTCTCAGAAGATCAATATTTCCGTAGAGTTCACTTTCTTATAGCAATTCTTAATTTTGTTTTTTTCGCCATTAAATGAAAACTATGTTCTTAGAATATGTCAATTTCTCCTCCTGGAAAAAAAAACAGTCTATTTAAGTACATTTATAAATTTAGATTAGCAAGCCTTCAATTCAAGGCTAACATTCTATTCTTTACAGTAATAAAAATTTCATGCATTGTGATATGATTCTATAGGGAAAAGACAAGGTAAGTTAATTGATTTTTTTTTACCGGTTTCCGCCACATAGGTGTTTTCCGGCTATTCATATAGTTAAATATGGCATTCATTCGAGCTTATGGTTCATAATATATGAAGTTACATAGTAAAATCGAATACAGTACTTAAGATTAAACACTATTATACTAATCAATCGGCTCACATACTGTGTATGGTCTAAAGAGAAATCGATTATTCTCACGTAATTGACAGATAGTTATAGAGCAATCATTTAGTAAACGTGCATGTTTTGAATATTCTCTATATAAAATATGAAAATAAGTAAAGAAAATGGGTGAGCAAAACGTATTTTGTTTTATGTAAATATCAATGATTTATCATGAGACATTTGTTACCTATGAAATCAAGATGAGAAATAAAAAACAAAACTTCTATTAACACTATATGAACATATCTATTACATGAAATCAAATCTAGTGGTAGAGCAAGAATTTTATTGAAAGTCTAATCAGCAGAGATTGAATAAAAAATGTAATATTGAATATGTACTATGTTTTGTCTATCAAGCGATGAATTAAACTAATAAACATTTTTATATTGTTGTCACTAATAGTGTGTCAAGAATTTTATATATATACAGATTTATCATCAAATATTAACTGATTTTTATTTTTGATGTTGATCGACATTGAAATTAAATAGAAAAATCTCGACTAACGAGAGAATGTTTCTAAATGTCAAATCGCTTTTGAGTCAGGACTATGTGCATCATGCTGGTTTTAATGAGCTATGAATATGCTGAAAACAGTTCGGGCTAATAGATTATTACTGTCGAGATACTCTATTTGTACTATATTTTTTTTTATCAAAATGCCGTGGTCTCCATCAGGAAAACTGAGTTTCGAATTTCGACTTAAAAATTCGCAGAGACAAGCTTTTAGTGAGAATAGTGTATTATAAAAATTTCAGATCTCTTGATTGCTTCTATTATAATATACGACTATGGTAAAAGCATGTTTTTCACGCTGCTCATATACAACGGCAAATTCGGATGTTCTTATTTCAAAATAGGCTCTATCGTGAAATCTGAAACTTTCATAATAAACCATTTCAGTTAAGATCTATCTCTATGCAAAATTTTAAATCGAAACTCTAAACTTAGTTTTTCTAATGTTCCTAAGGGAAATCATGACATTCTGCTAAAAAAAATACGGTAAAACTACAGTATCTCGGCAGTAATCAGCTATTAGTCTGAACTCTTTTCAGGGTATTTATAGCTCATTAGAACTTTCATGATACACATAGTTCTGACTCAAGAGCAATTTGATACTTGGACACGTTCCCTCATAGGAAATCAAAAAGAAGAACTATATTTCTTGATCATGTATAAAACCTGCATTAAAACCACTTTTTTTTTCATTTGTCTATAACATATTCTTGTTTGATTGTACACATATTCAGAGGCGTAGCTCAGCACTAGAGATAAGAGGTATCACGCCCTACGTGCTCTCCAAAAGTTACACTCCTGAACAAATCAGCACTTATATTTTCTTAACACATATTTCATTAAAAAGAACAATAAAGTATGAAAAAAGAAGAACTGTATGCTCAAAACTTGTTTAATCATTATCTATTTTATTTTGATAATTTCATATGAAAAATCAATTAACAATAATTTATAAAAGATAACCATTTACATCATTTCTAACTGTTAAAAATGGTAATCATCGATAAAAATCTGTTTGCCAAATTCGATTACTCAATACGTTTACTAGTCACATAGTTAAACTGCATGAACAAAATTTTGATAAGTAAAAGATAATATAAAAAGTCAGGTGTATATGATTAAAGTTCATTTTGAGATAAAGAAGATGATACAACAGTTTATCCCCCATTTGGTCTGAAACCATCACAACAATAGGAGTACATAGAGGTCAGTAGTTGTCTATTGATTTATAACTCATTTTAGAGGTGTTAACTACGTTCACTACAGGTTTCGACATCTGTCATGTCGTAACAATGCGTTTACTCTCTTTTATTGTATGTTAACGAAACAAACAAAAAATCTGACTATATAATTTATAAGAAAAGAAAAAAAAAAAACTTGTAAAAGAGTAAGAATCAAATTTCACTATGAATATTCATCTTAGGTTTTTTTTTCGTACTATATCACAACGACAAAAGTTCGCAGTCTTATGTCTTTATATAGCGAAAATTATCTCTAACTATTTATTCAAGGTTATATCATAGCGATTATATTTTTTTTCCTGTTGTTTTTCTTTCGTTTGAAGAACAAATAGGATTGTAGGCGTTAACAATAAGAAAAAAAAAAGGAGAACATTAATGCATTTTTGTCGTCAAACATACCAATTCCATTTATACATAAAAAAAACTTTTTTAGATCATTCATGGTGATCATTATCAATGGCTCTTACTTCATCATTTCATACAATGTCAACTGGTTCCGGTTCATCATCATCAAATACATTTCTATTGCCTAAAACTGATATAAGTGTAGCTGATAATCAATTAATTGATATACTTTTAAATGGTCAAAATAATGAACATAAAATTCAAATAGTTAATCGGTGGTGTAAAAATTCACGACGTAATCGTTTATCAACTATACTTGATGTTTCACAAAGACATGATGTTTTATCATCTCTAGTAAATACTCTACAACAAACAACAAATACGGAATATCAATATAATTGTTTAACATTATTATCTGAACTTCAAACAAATATTCATCATTATGATCAACGTATTTATCTACCAGGTTAGTTTTAATTTAATTGAATATTACAAAAAAAAATCAATTGATCTTTTCTTTTGTTTTAGCAATTATTCAATGTTTTTCATCAACATCAAATGATGTACAATTATTAGCAGGACAATTAATAATAAAACAAATTCGTATAACACAAGATATTCCAACATTTTTATTTCTTTATACACAAGAAGGTTTAAAATCTTCTAATATAAAATTACGTATTAAATCTATTCAATTATTAAATGAATTATTAACAAATACACATCAATATGAAAATTTATCACCTATATTTGAAATACTTCTTCAATATTTACAAGATAATACATTTCGTTCAACATATAATGATATTCTTATTAATTCAATACAACATATAAAACGTATATTAGGTTCAGATTTATTAAATAATTATCTTGAAAAATATTCATCTTCATTAAGACGAACATATAATACATATATATTACAAAAACATGATGATGAATTACAAATTATAAATATTGATACTGATTTAGATGATGATGATGAAACACCACGTGCATCAATGCAAACATCACAAATTAAAGATAAAAATATACATTCCAATACAGGTATATTGAATCATATATATGAATTCTTCTATAGTTAATCGATATAAGGGTGATTTAAAGTGGAAGTAAGAAGTTTAGAAACGATATATTTTAAACTTTTTTTCTTTAACTATAACAACTAGAATCAGTTTCCTGTATTCTATCAAAAATGTTCTACAAAGAAGTTTATGTAATAGAAAAAGTATTTCTGAATAAAATAAGATGTCTCCAAGCTCTCCACGACCTTATTCTCGGCAAACTGCACTCATTCTACTCAAGGCTTCAAAGTATAAAACAGTCGTTAAGATCTATTGCACAATGTTTATCGCTCGTGGAGAGCTCGGCAATATCTTATTTTACTCAGAAATCTTTCCTCCATTAGATAAAAATGCTTTACAAAACGTTTTTTGTGATAGAATCTAGAAAGCTAATTTTTCAGGGACTTAGTTTTCTAAAGATCTTTCACATAAATCTATTAATGAAAATTTTTACATAATACTTCTGATAGAAAACTATTTTAGCTAATTAAATCTTTTTTCGAATCTATTCTAGTTATTACCTTTAAAGAAAAATGTCAAAAGTACTTTGTTTCAAAATTTTCCTACTACCACTTTATATAAATCTTATTATTCTATTATTATTTTAGGAACTAATAATGTTCGTTCACATGGTAATAATCATCCTGATAATTCTCATAATATATTTTCAACACGAAAACTTCCTGTTACATCTCAATCATCAATTACAACACCTATAACAAATGAAAATTCAGATTTTGATACAATTGTTGAATTAATACGTTCAAAATGGTTATCAGCTAATGATACAAATCGTTTAAATTATCTTGATCAATTTAAACAAGCATGTGATAAATCTTTACAATTAATACGTTCACAATATTTATCAACAACAAATAATTCACAATTTCATCAAACATTACATACATTTTTAACAACTATACTTGATCTTTTATCATATATAACATCATCAAATCTTGATTTATCAATTAAAATTAAACTTGTTTTATGTACATGTCTTGGTTGGCTTATAAAACATGCACAAGTTAGTTATTGTAAAAGAAATTATAAAACAATTTGTATAATATTTAAAAATATTCTTCTTAATGGACAATCGAATAATCGACAATTAGCAGTAAGTTATTTTTTGGTTTAATATTCAGATTTAATCGAATTTAAGAAATGAAAAAAAAAAAAAAAAGTGTATTGAGAATAATTAGTAGATATTTTCTCAATAGATCAATACAAGACTGAGATATTTTTGAATATTTCCTTCAAGGACATAGAAACCAATCAAATGATTACTTGTTATTTTCAAATAGATGACATAATCGTGTTTGTTTTGACTTTTTTTTTTAATATCAAAACAAACAATATAATATTTCGTTCATTGTTGAGTTAGTTTTTTCATATAATTAATTTCATTCTCCTTTTTTTTTTGTTTTCTAATGTCTAATAAATATTATTTGCTTCATTTTTGAATAGAAATTAAGTGTAAGTCTTATATTATTACTTGAAAATTTTGTTCAACCTCAACTTATTCTTAATGAATTAATTGATGATAATTTTGAACGTTTTAATTATCGTATTCAACTTGAAATGCTTGCTATTATAACAGCAACATTATTAAAATATCGTCAACATAATTATGATAATTTAACAAAACTTTCAAAATATCTTTTACCAATGTTAATATCAAATCGTCGTGAATTACGTCATGGAGCTATTGAATGTTTTACTGTTATATGTAGTTATTTTAATACATATAAACCAATAACATTATCTATAATTGAAACAAATCAATCAATTAAACTTGTTTTAACATTAATTGAAAATTTATCATCTGATGCATTAAATGCATTACGTTTTCGTTTACAACGTAATTTACTTCCATTATTAACTGATGAAGGTAATATAACACCAGGTTTAGTATGTGATTCAACAACGTTGAATGATATCGATGCAAAATTTATTTTACTTGTCAATAATACAATATCAACACCACAACCAACAACAGCAACATCTGTTGAACCACCATCATCAACAAAAATAACACCAACAAATAAATTACTTCAATTACCTATGCCTTTTGCTGAAACAACAACAACAAAAACAAATATAGATGATGCTGTAAGTTTTATTTTTAATTAATATAATGTGTGTTCTATTTTCTCAACTTTAATAATATCTAAGAAAAATGAATGTCCAAAAAAAAAAAAAAAAAAGGAAAGAAACTTATTAACAATTGAATTTAGCTTTTTTTAATATTGCTCTTGAATAACACAAGGTACTTTTTTTATTCATAGTTTACTTAAGTGATTAAATGTTTATCAAGAGTTCTTATATGCGAACAATCAAAATCAGTTTCGTTTGACTTTAGGATTGTTTTTTTACCTATCATAAGAAGATCTTAAAGATCCTATATAAACACTTAGACTTCTTTTTTGCTTATTATTATTCGAGAAAAATATTATGTCAATCATGAATATATTGATTTAAAGTCTAGCTATTTTATCAGTTAAACAATTTTATACATGAAATCAAAGTATGTCAATCGATTCATATTTATTTTAAGAGACAGAACATATTCATTAATGCACTTTCTTTTTTGTTTATGTTATTCTTCATACCTATTCGAAGTGTTTTGCTTTTTTTTTTATTTGTACTCCTTGTCTACAATTCATAAAAAAAAAAAAAGAAAAGAAAACAACAACCACAATATGACTACTATCCTCATCAATAACTGAAAGTAAAAAAAAGGAAAGAAATAAAGAGTGACGACAATAATGATTGACATTGATGTATGTGAAAGCGCATGAAGAATGATGATTGAAATCTTTACTTTACTGCCATTGTTTAAACGACTGAGACATACACGCATGCATTTTGTTAAATGAATGAGTACGAGTAAAAAGAAGAATAAGAAAAAAAAAAAAAGAAAAATTAACGTCCATCATCATTGCCTTGCGACTTCTTTTATGTCTTGTCGTAGCAACTATTGCAGCTAGGAAACTTGACTTGACGTGGGTGTGTGTCTGTCGGATGAAAGATGTTCATGTTCGACGATGAAGATCTCTTTTACTGGCTTAGGCGACCTACGCTATTGGTAAGCCGGATATAGAAGAATAAAAAAAAAACAGAAGACATAGAAACATGAAAAAAGAATATCAGTTTATTTCTTCGTTTCATAGAAGATTTTTTATGCTCATACGTGCATTTCAAATGAGCTAAAAGCATACGATTCATCTTTATTGTTAATGTACGTGCGCATATTTCAGTAATTTTTGTAAGTTTTTTAACATTTATTGAGAATAACTTTTGCAAGAAAACATATTTATGCATATTTATATATAAGCATCAAAAGTACATACGAATGTTTAAATCAATGAAATTTGATATTCATTCGTTCTTTCTTTCTTTTTTTCTTTTTTTGTTTCTTTGTCTTCAATTATTAGATTACTTTTGCAGTTGAATTTCAAGACATTGTCAATGATGTATACTCTATCTAGATATGAAAAATAATGAGTTTTAACTATCAGGAAATATTGAACTAGATAAGAAAAGTAAATTATAAAAAAAGAAATACGCAAAAATGAATGTTCTCATTTCACAGCAAGAGTTTTATAATGAATAATATTTTCATATTTCGTTTGAATGATTCTTAAAAACAAAATTTTTTTCCTGATAAAAATGTTTTGCAGCGGAAAAATTAGTTACTATAATTATCAATCCAACATGCTAAAAAAAAAAAAAAAAAATAGCAAGAGTGCCTACAATTTTGAATGAAATTTTTCTTTTATTGAATAAATTGTTTTTTATTTAGTCTTCAAAATACTCATTTGTTTTGTACACAAATTTTGTTTTAGTTTTTATCTCATTAACACTAGAGAATTATTATGATCTTCTATTCTATTATAATTTGACTAAGAAAAAAAGGAGTATGTCTTGCTTTTTTCTTCCGCACTCAATTATCTATCATTAAGCATTAGAGAGTCAACATATCCGCTATTACAGATTATTATAAAGAAAAAAAAAAAAAGACATTTTGAAAAAGTCAGGCTTCTCGTTTATTCAATCTTTAGGTCTTTTTCTTTTTTTTTTTTACGTATATATTTTCTAGTTTTTCCTACAAAAATATCATAATAATTTTGTTAATTAAAGTAATATATAAACTTAAAAAAGAATAATATCGAATTGTATTATATAATAAAAGAAGAAGAATATGATATTTATTATTAGAAAAAAATTTCTAAGTATAATTATTTTTGCTATATACCTGATTTTATAATAATTATCGAAAACTTTTTCTTTTCTTTTTTTTATACATATTGCATGTTGTTGATACTAGTTATTATTTTCTATCTTTTAATATAATTATTTCACTTCAATAATCCGTACAAATGTAGATTAAAAAAAATATATATTAATTAAAAATTCTCGAAAAAGAAAAGCTGTTTCGTTGAATATATACCTATATTATATTAAGTGAATAGTAGAAATTATAAATATATTTGAGAACTTATTTGTAAAACTAAGATTAGAATTGATTTATTTTTTTTTTCGATTCAAATTAATAAAATATTGATGGTAAATTTTTATTTATAGGTAATGCGTAATCATGAAATACCTCCATTGAAACCATCTGATGTTGATCGTGATTTACATCGATTCACTAGTACTAATCATCGTTATGAAACGCCAATAAATCGTAAGTTTTCATCTCATATAAATTTACTTCGTCTTTTTTTGTTTTGTTTTTTTCTTTCTTGATCAAATTTGTTCTTTATTGTATTTTTTTGTTTGTTTTTTTTGACCTGATTCATTTGATTTTTTTTTCTTGTTTATTACTCGTTGCACATCAGGTCAGCATCAGCACCAACCGTTATGTTTTAACAAACGAATGACTTTGCTGACAAAACGTCAAATACCAACCGGTAGTATAGAAAACGAATTGTGAAATTTCTCTTTTGTTTTTTATTCTTCTTCTTCTTTTTTTTATTCACATCTCATCATCGTACGACTAACTGAATGCAAAGTTCTACTTTTTTATTCTTACTTTCTCTCTATAATGAATATTATAACATTGAAAACAACATTTTAAATGTGTTCTAGACATCCTGCTGAGTCGGGTTTTTTTTTTTGTACTTACTAATAATGATTCCGACCACCAGCTTTAAATTTATACAGAAAAAAGGGAACACAAAAAAGAAATAAGATGCGAGATTGATAGACTCGATGTATTTTTTAATTAACTTTTTTTTTTTTTTTTATTTTTTTTTTCAAATAGTTTTTTCTTTGTGCATGTAGACGATGAGTGCAAGTGTATGAGATATGCGTGAATAAATCTTTTTTTTTAACATCTTAGTTACTTTTCCTGTTTTGACACAAATTCTATTCAAAAAGAAAAAGTGAGGTGTAAATTAATTGAGAATAGTTCATTATAAAATTAATAAGAAAAAAAACGATTATTGTTTTTGTTATTTTTCCTAGCAACAGTTGTTACTACTCATACACCCGGTGGACCAACGTTGGATTTAACGATAACTGGAAATAATAGTTATCGTCCATTAACACTTACTGAAAAAGTATTTACAGATGAATGGGCAAAAAAATTATCAACAAATAATAATCATCCAAATGAACCAATCATAACTAGTCAACAACAAGGTTTGTATTCAAAAAGAAGAAAAAAAAAAACTTAAAAGACTCAATTTAATTAAACTAATTCGAACATGTAGAAGATATCAGGAAATGTTATTGTTTTAATTGGTTCAATAGGAATAAGATAAGAATAAAATTCACATTCTACAGACTTTTATGACATGTTTGAAGATGATTTTCATACGTGTTGTGTTTATTATCAAATATCTTCTTTTATTAAAAGTCTATTAAGTATGGATTTCATATAATTATAAAATATATCTATTCTTAACGACGATTAATTAGACGGAAAAGAAGTTCATGAAAATAACCTAATAACAGTTTCATAAAGAATCCAATGAGCATTTTGTTGTCATTAAATGATATAAAAGATTTTTTTCTTTAATGAGTATTTCAACATCTTTTTCTATCTAATGAATAGATAACTTAATAAAAAGAAAATTGTTTGACGTAGGTTTTTTTCTCTATATAAAATTCACTATTTAACATATAGTGTTTATCATTTTTTTTTTTTTGCTATTTAATGTTATTTTATAGAAACTAATTATAACAATACACTTCAATTTCGTCCATCTATACCACGTCGTCCATCACTTAGTCGATTTCCAATAGCACATAATCTCTTAACTACATCACAAGTTCATAGTCATCAAGAACCACAACAACAAATTCAATCAAAACGTCAATTTGATTCCGAAATTGATCATGATGAAGGTATCGATAGTGCAATAGAATCACGTTCTCTATCGATTAATACATTAGACGATACTAGTGTACCTGAGGTAAATAAAACTATGAATGACTTTAATGGAACAAAAGAAAAATTTCTCATTTAGAACGATCATAAGCAATCAAAAAAACCTGTTCGATCAGTACATAGCAGTTCAACACGACGTAAAATCGATCGATTATTTAGTAACGGTAGTGATATAGATCCAACATCAGCACGTACTTTAACACCTGAAAATAGCAACGAAAGTGGTGTTTATTCACAATCAGGACGTGAAATTGAAAACGATACTAACGGAAGTACAAAGTATGATCAAATAAAAACAAAATATACAATTATATTTATTTAATAATTTTTCTAGATCTACACAATCAATTGGTAAAGATCAATTATTTTCAACTAAACCACGTCTTGCACGTTCTGGTTCGAAATCTAAACTTGATAAATCCCAATTACCACCAACAGATCCATCATTATCATCTAGACAAATACATGATTATAATTCAAATGGGAAAAATACAAATCGTACAACAAATACAAATGTTGAAATAATTGGTAAAAATTATATTGATACAAAAATGCCTTTAAAACAATTTTCAATTGAAACTATAGATGATAAACAATCAACTGAAAATAAATCTCGAACAAAAATTACTAAAGGTAATATTAGAGAAAAAGAATAAAAATCAATTATTGATCTTTATCAAAAATTAATCAGAAAATTTTCTCGAAATACAAAACGATCAAACTTATTCATGCAAAGGACTGGCTCAATGTAGCTAATATTGGAAGGAAGGAGGACGAGTGTGATTTTTTTTTCTAAGAGAACTCACGAAAAATTTTCGATTTCACCATAAATCGGCAAGTTGATTCCGGACCCGACGGGCTCTCGTATACACTCCCGCCTCAATCTTGAGACTCTCGTGCGGTTTCTGTCGATTGGGTGATCTCTGTTCATTTGAAAGGTTTGTTTTTAGGATTGTCAGGTATTTTACATTGATAGATGTTTTTTTGTTTTGAATAATGACTAAACAGAAATGATAGTCGTCAGCTAAAATGACCTACTTTTTAGTAAAACAAAAAAAAAGGTCTTTTATCATATCTCGAACACTATTATATTATAATAACACTATCATCGAGGGGTTGAGCTACAGTTTGATATGAGTGGGTTATCTTTTTTCTTTTTGTTGTTGTCCAGGTTGTCTATATTTGATTAGTAGTGTAAAAAAAAATATTGCTGTGTGTGTTATCGTAATGTCTTAGTGATAATTCTTTCAGAGAAGAAACATGTTAAAAATTTCATCATCCTAAGGTCTGTTTTCTTAGCTAAATTTACAAATAAAAGTATTTTATTTAGAACGAGGAAAGTAATTTCCAGAAATGTGATTTTCTTTTTAATAGTTCTAATGAAAAGGATTCTTTCGAATGAGCATGTAATCATAGCTTTCTATTTTTGTGTAAAATAATTACGACTCAACTAAATTAAATAGAAAATTTTAGTTAAACTAAAACTTTCATCTACAGTGGAAGCCTTTCAGCTCTTTGTCAAGTTCAATTGCTCAGTTATAATAATCTGAATGTTAAAAATGAATGAGTGGTATTATCTATGAACAAAGTTGATTAGGTCAATATCTAGAGTGTAATAAACTTTGTATGAAAACTAAAAGTCTAAAAGAATACCATAGAAAATAATTGGAATGAATCCTATTGATTCAAAATATGTCATCAATCATGATAAGACATTTCGATAATAATTCAATAGATTCTTTTCTGTACTAACAATAACATTGTTAAAAGTTTCTTCTTTTTTTTTATTCATTCTAATTGACATTGCAGAACAATCTGATAAGATCATTGATAGATAAGTATGTTATTAAAATAAAATTTTTCACCTTATTGAGATTGATATTAACAAATATATTACATTGACATATGAAATAAAAATAACAACTTTTAAAACAATTCAACTAGTTTACATTTCTTATTATAGAATTTAATAATTATATTTTAGGAAAAATTTCTTTTTTTGAGATCAATTGTGTAAAATGATTGAAAAACAATTCATTTTTCGAAATGTATTAGACCGTTAAGCCGTGAACTTTTTTTTTGAATTTTTTACTCAATATTATATCATATATATTTAAAAAAATAGTTTCACAAGTACTTTGTAAGCTTTAAAAACTATTTAAAAAATTAATATTTTTCTTTAGAAAATGATATATATATATATACATCACTTTTTTTTGTTCTTTCTTACATTTAGCTTCTGTTATTCATGGTCCTTTGAATACAACAACACATACAAACGTTAACCTTGACAACGGATCTAATCTTAATGATGAACAAGATATTGGAATTATTGGTAAAGGTAAAAATCAATAAGATTTTATTTTATTTAGAATTTATGATAGTTTATTATCTTTTAGCTGTTAATATTCCATTACGTACACGTCCTGAAACAGATATAACTAAAATACAAAATACAAATACAATGAATAAAAATATAAATAAACCAAATGACAATGTCGATATGATATCTGATGAATATGATAGTGATTCAAAAGAAAATGAAAATGTAAGTTTATAAATAACTAAAATTCTTGGATATGAACAATTTTATTTGTTAGTGATGTGATTTCGAGCACAGTAAAAAAAAACAATATGTATATTGTTGAATAGAAAAATTTCTTTTAGTTAATTTTCTTGTCATAAATGTATATTGAGTTACTCTAGAGATATCCTGAAAAATTTATGAGAGAACTACTCGAACTGTAACTTGCCATTTGAGATCATAGTAACGAAAAGTGACCATTTGTTGAAAATTCAATATCTCAATAAAGAAATATTCTTTTCAATTGAAACTTTGAAGATATTCTAAGAATTGTTTGATCTATCGACGAGTTCAATTTCAAGTCAAAATTCCATTATTTGTTTTTCTACTAAATATCTAAAAATAGATCCGAAAATTCAGTAAAACGGTCATGACACGGTTCCAAAGGCTCATAAATACGAGCTCTTTTAAAATTTTTCTAGTCTTATCGAGACCTACTTGTGTGCCAATGCGAATTCAAACGGCAGATTATAGTAAGAAGTAGTTCCTTCTTTAGCCCTATAAACCTTTGCTATGCCATCTGATTATTAAAAAACAAGAGTTAGTGACGTGATACAATAAAGGTTTTCATTGTACGCGTTTCCATTTACAAATACTGCAAATTGAAACAATATTTTTAAAACAAAATGATGCGGTTTGTAAAATACTCTTCAAACTACAAACTCTCTACGTAAAAACGTTTTCTGAACATGCTTAGATTTTTCAAAAAAAAAAACAGAATTTATTCGTTCTTAGTGGTAGAATTGAGTATGAATATATAGAAACGAAGAATATTCTTGTAATTGAATGTAATATTGAAAAAACACAATTCTAAATGGTATAAATCCTTATTAAAGATCTCGAGATGATAATAAAACAAAAATTCTCGTTCGAAAACATCAGCGAACTTCTGAAAAAAAGAGTTTTTTTAGGGATGCAATCTTTTCAAGTCCGTTATTGTTGAAAATTTCACCATAGATATAGTACATGGTGCGAAGACTATTCTAAACTTCTTGCCTGTGCTCATTATAAAATTAGAAAGTCATTTACTAAATTTAATTTTATGTAAATTGAAAGAACTAATATTTTTACATATATTCATAAGAAAAGAATTTTTTCAAAAAAATAACTTTTATAAAGAATTAAAGTCAAATCAAAGATGTTCTTCATGTCCTTTTTTCTCTAATTTGTCTATATTATACATATCGAATGTCTCAGAATTTCTGAAACGATTTACAAATTCATCGCTTTTACATTGGACAAAAGCAAATTCTTCATAATAATTGTACATACTTAGTAGCAAACATCTACAAAGTTTTTTTCGAAAAACAAAAAAGTAAACACATATCAAATTATCAATATTTGTATTGCAAAGAATTTCACATGATTTTTTTTGTTCTGTGTAGTTTATTGATATGGGTCAATCTTTATCAGCTTCATTTCGTTTACGTGTTCAACAAAAAACTCAGGAAAAAATTGAACAAAAAGAACGTCGTCGACAAGATCGAGAATTTCGTCGTCGTCAATTACAACTTCAACAATATAATAATATAAATCATATTGACAATATGTATGATAATGATCTTCCAACATCATCAACATCAACAAGTCGTTATTCATCTCAACCAGATCTTTCATCCAATGGTAATGATTTACCTCCAACACCTCGACGTCAAATTGATTCCAATATAACTTCAATATTACCCAATGTTCTTTCACAACAACGTTTTCGTGTATATAAAAATGCGTAAGTAAAAATTTTGTTTGAATATTAAAAAAAATAAAAAATAAATTTTCGTTTTTTTTTTTTTTTTTTTCTATTTTAAAGTATGGCTCGATCTCAAACATTTAATAATCGACATGATTTATCAACAACAGATCAACGTATTGCATTTAATCGACCATTATCAGAAGATCGAATAAGTGATCAATTAAGAAATCCTGATGGTGTTTATAGAGAAGCTATGGAATCTGTTTCTAGTGATGATTGGGAACGTAAATGTTCTGGTCTTAGTTTACTTCAACGTCTTATTGCACAATATCCTGATATAATAACACAAAATTTACATCAAGTTGTTTTAGTACTTATTCAAGAAGTAAAACAAAAAAAATAAAAATTAATAAATTTCTTTTTTTGTTTTGTCAGGTAAAAAATCTTCGATCACAAGTTGCACGTTTTGCATTATCAACATTTTCTGATATGTTTAAACATTTAAAACGTAATATGGATATTGAACTTGATATAACTGTTAAAGCTATTATGCAAAAAAGTGCAGAAAGTAATGAATTTTTTAGGTTTGTAATTTATTTAAAAACAAACACGATCTTTTCTTTTTCTTATATAGAAAAATTTTTTTTTTATTTATTTGACATTTTTCAGAACCGATGTAGAAAAGTGCCTTCAAATTTTGATTGAAAATGTCACACTTCAAAAAGCATTACAAGCCCTCATAGCTGGTGGAGCAAGGTAATTTAAAAAAAGACATAAAAGATTTCTTTTTTATATTTGTTCAATTTCCGAAACGGAAATCACTTGAACATATTTTTTTTACGGCTTGAAAACAATGATACTTTGAATTGATATTTATAACCAAAAGAAAGTTAAACGGAGGTTATTGAGTTTCTTCATCATGTCAGTAGAGATTCTTTGATCATGTTGCGAGATGGAATTCAAACTATTTTTTAAGTAGTAGAATTTAATCGTTTGTAGGAAGGCTTATAAAGAGCTTAACGATAGAAATCCTCTAACTGATAAATTGCTTTTGAATTGAGATTATATACCTTATGTAAAATCGTATGACCTATAAATAAACTGAAAGGAGTTCAGGTCTTTAGCCTTTTGTTATGAAGATATTGTACTTGTACGGTATATTTTTCAAATGAATATGCGATGATAACAGAAAAATTGATTTTCAAATTTTGACTTGAAACTTTGCATAGAGACTCTATGCAAAGTTTCAATTTAAAATTCAAAAATAAGTTTTTCTAGTGTTCTTGAGGAGAATCGTGACACTCACTTTAAAAAAAGTACCCTAGAAGCATAAGAGCTCCGCAGCAATTAGTTAAGAGTATGCATAACTCATTTAGATCTACACAATACAGATAGTCTTGGCTCAGAAGCAATTCATCAATTGGAGAACTTCCTGTGAGAACACTCATCTAGTTACGCCACTTAATCCTCACATACTAGAAGCCTCGCCGGCGGAGAACACTGTGAACTTCATAATAGAAGATTCGGATATCGTTAAAACAAAATCCATCGTTTAAGTTTTGTTAAATCTTTTCTTTCATTGAAATATTGCTGAATCATATTTATTGAACAATAAAAGTTAGGAAAGAATAGAATAATAGCTTATGAATGCATAATAGGAATATATTTTCTTCAGAGGAGAAAACAAAACAGCAGTTGTCAGTTCGAATGAAAATTTAGAACAAAAAAGTTATACGAATAGTCGAAAATGATTAATATTAAACTTCATTTGTGTCATTAATCATATACATTTAATGAATATATAACATATGACAGAACAACATTGTGCAGTTCTTGATGATGATGATGATGATGATGATGATTCAAATGTTGAAATCATTTCGAACATTGATTAATGTAAAAATGAATTAGTAGTATATTTATCGACATACCATCAATTGGAATGCCTCGACGATAATGATAATGATAATAAAGAAAAAGAACATGATGATTGTAAAAAAAGAAAAATAATAAGAAGTTCTTTTTTTTGTTCTTTGTACTTGAAACATAATCATAGTAAACGAAATAATATGTAAAAACGATATTCGATCTTTTACGAATAAAAGTTCATATTAAAAGATCCGATGTCTTTTGTCATATGTATAGAAGGAATTTTAAAATGAATGTAGACAAAAGTTTAGATCAATATTTTTAGTTTTGAACTTTATCGATCTTAAGCAAAAAAAAGACTATAAAGATCAAGAATTTTTATTTTCATAATTCATTTAATTCGATTGAGATCTCATTTATAAATTTTTTCCGAATGAGAGATTACAATATTAATTTATGTGATCTTTTTTTTCTTCTTATTTTTTTTTTTTTTTTATTAGTCATCGTAATCCGGCTGTAAGAAAAACATCAGCAAAATACATCTATATTGTTTGTGAAAAATTGGGTCCCAATAAAATATTAAGTGGTGCTCGTGATATAACAGAACGTGTTTTACAAGTCGCAGCTACATTTGCATCAGATGGACCACCAGAAATTAGGTATATATATATAATTAAGAAGGAAAAAAATAAATTAATAAAAATCATATATGTTAATTCAATTTAGATGGTATGGTAAAAAAATTTATCATATGTTAATGTCTTTTGATGAACTTGATTCATTAATGAAACATTATCTTAATCCAACAGTTTATTCAAATATGTGTGAAATTCTTGATAATATTCGAGCTAAAGTAAATTCATTTTGAATCATTAAAAGATTAGAAAATTTTATTTTATTTTTTTGTTCTATTCTATATTAAATAGGGTGGAGTTGGTGAAACACCGAGTGAATCAGCAACAAAAAATGGTCGACGTACATTATCGGATAAAATACCTTCAAATGGGTAAATAAAAACTTAACAAAAAAAAAAAAACTATTCCTCTAAATTTATTATCAATTTTAGAACATTAACAAATCATTTTTCATCAACACGTAAAATAAATAGTGCTGATCAAACGGAACAAGTTCGTAATTTAACAAAACAAATGCGTAGTTCAGATTTTCGTGAACGTTTAAATGGTATTGAAGAATTTCAAAAATTATGTGAACTTGAAACTGAAACAGCTATACAATCACTCGTACAAATTTTTGATGGTTTTAATGAATGTTTAGCTGATATGAATTCAAAAGTTGTTTTAAAAGCATTAAATACAATGCATCAACTTATACCAATCTTAGGTGATGCATTATCAAATGTTATTAATTCAGCATTACCAATTGTAGCACAAAATATTGCATCAAAAAATCGAGATATATCACAATTTGCTTCGGATATTATTGATACAGCTATTGAATATATTGGTAACAACAAAAAAGAAAAACAATTTTAAAATTTATTTTTACTTTTCTTTTCTTTTTTTTTTTATAGATAGCGGTTGTCTATTACAACCACTTTGTACATTAAGTCAAAATAGCAATCTACGTGTTCGACCAGAAATTGTTCTTAAATTAGCTAGTAAGTTTGATAATATAAAAAAAATAAATAAATAAAAGGATTCTGAAATTTTTTTGAAAAGAAATTATTTTGTTGAACTCAATAATCTGTCTTTCTCACTAGAATAAAATATCATAGCCTTCTATTTCAGACTAATGGATTTTTAAACAAAAGAAAAAAGCTTCTGAAAAATTCATAACTTTCTAAAAACGAATTTTAAATATTAATATTTTAGCTCTTGTTCCACGTGTTTGTCAACGTAAACCTAAACAAGTTGAACTTCATCTATTACCAACTTATTGGAAATTATTAGCATTATTACGTGGTCAAAATACTACTGGAATAATATCATCAGGTGGTGGTTCAAATAGTTTAAATTCTTCAATTCATATATTAACAACAGCACTCTATACAGAATTAGGTTCTGTATTACTTGATAAAGCAAGTTCAAGTTCAATGGTAACACCAAAAAATTTACAAGTACTTCGTGAACTTTGCACAAATATTGATGCTGTGTGATTTTTTATTTTCTCTTCAGTTGTGATTACATTAATAATATATATATATATATATATATATATCTTATATATATATAAATACATATAGATAGATATCCACGGCTTCTTCACACATTGTAGTTCTTCATTTGTACACACACAGCTCAAGCAATCTTTCTTCGTTTTTTTTTCTTTTTCTTTTTCTAAACAGTGACATATGTCTTCTCGTATTCAGAATTTCATTTATTCATTATTGGTTTTTTTTGTCCCTCTTGTTCTGTGATTAATAATGACTGTTACTAGTTTTTTTTTCTCTTCTCTTCCGTTCTGTTTCGTGCACGCTCTTCTTCAATGTTTTGTAATATGTAAGAGAGAAAAAAAAAAAAAAGAGAAACAATGATAGTGTGTGTATGCGTGTGTTTGTATTTCAGCGGAGGTGAAACACAGGAAATAAAGAATTTTATGGTTTATGACAAATATAATTGAAAAATAGATCAAATTGAATTGTTTAATCATTTTGATAAATGTTTGTTTTGAACAAGAAAAAAAAAAAACGAAACAAAAATGATGTATTACTACTTTGATAGATGTCTAAAACTATTTTATAAATTGAATCAAATGAAATTACAGATATAGAATAATATTGAATGATTGTTTTATAAGAGAATTATTGATAATACAATCGTATAAATCACTATGGAGTTGTAGTGAATGTTTTTTTTTTAACTTCATCTAACAACATGTAAAAAAATTTCATCAATATCTATCAATTAAACCATAAATTCAGAATACAGTAAATACTCTTGATAATTACGTATTTTGGTACGAAAATAAGATTTCTGTTTAATGAATTGAATAATTCAAATGAATGGATCAGATTGTGAATAACGATATAATATTATTGCATGATTATTTTCTGATATAAATTACGAATATTTATTATTATTAAATAAAATGTTTTTCTTTTTTTTTTAGTACTAATATTCTATTAAATAGTTTGTAATCAAACTTATTCTAATGGAATAATTCGTTCAATTGATTTTTTTTAAAAATATTTTCTAGGAATTTTTTTTTCTTCTCCTTTTTGAAAATAATATGCAAACAATTTTGTTTTTGTTTCTATTGACTGAAGGTTGATTTTTACTTATATAAACATATCATAACTTTCTTTTGTCTATTTATTATTTGGTATCATTGAAAATTTATTAATCGTTGCTAAGGGTATAGAAGAAGGAGATGAAGAGAAAAGAAAACCGAAAGGTAAATTTGAATGAAAAAAGAATAGTTGAAATCGAATTGAAAATTCAATAAAAATTCTCTATTTCTTTTTCTTTTATGACTATTTTGTTCATAATACTCTCGTTTATACATGGCTCATTACTAAATGATAAAAAAAATGAGAAAATCTTAATTTACAAAAAAACAGACCATTGATATGAATAGAAAATAAGAAGACATGAAAAAGCATTAAGAAAAAAACAAAAAAGAAAAGAAACTTCTTCTCCTTACAACATACTTAAAAACTCTGTCTACTACATTATAAAATATTGCTTTTGGCAAATGTGACACATTACTATATGCAAAGTGTTTTCCTCGATAATACAAATGATCCCAAATGAATAGATATGCGGGCATGCATGAAAAAAAAAGGAACATTCCTCTAAACATAGTTGCGCATAGAATCATCAAAATACAAAAAAAGACGAAAAATAGATTTAAGTAGGATTACTTATCTTCTATATATAAATATCTAAATAACAAAAGAAATATTTTTCAAAGAATTTAGCTATCTATCTATTTATGTATGTTTTAATGTAATGCTTTAGGCTAATAAACATAACTAAAGGTTATATAAGATAGTGATGAACGATATTCGAGATTATGAGGATGTTGATTGAAAATTCAAATTATGCTCCAAGGGTTGCGTATAGCACTTGACAAAGTATGTTTATGCATATAACCAAATAAAGCACGCCTTCTACTCTTATATATATATATATATATATCGATAATAATAGTATTCATGCCAGAATCAATCCTATACGATGAGATGCCAAAGTAAAGCTGTTGATTTCAACAATATTGTGAATATAACATCAAGTGGTGAGACTTTCATTGCGATCTTTCTTTTTTTTTATTATATGACAGATGATTACTAAATCTATTATTTTCTTCTCTTTTTTCGCCTTTTCTTGGCATAAGAAAAAAAGGAAGAACTATCACATCACTAGTTTGTCGTTCTCTTTTGATAAGAATAAGAGAGAAAGAATGAGAGAGTAAAAGAGAGAGAGGGAGAGAGAGAGAGAGGGAGAGAGAGAGACAGGGAGACAGAGAGATGCAGGGATAAGCGAAGAAAAAAACAGAAATTAAAAAGCCCGAGAGCGGAAATGTCGAACTTTCCGGTTGTCGAAGCATACTACTCTTGGCTAAGATGTCACACGAATCAATATGTCAGTCTTCAATAGTTTCATCATTCAAGAGAATAACAACGACAATTTAACTTGACAAATAATGTGGTTCTTATTAATAACTGTAACATTTCTATTACTATTAATTGGAAAAATACAAATAAGCCTTTGTTATACTACTGTTCAAATTGCTGTTCTTCTTCCAACTGATCCACAATTACCATTTGATATGCAAAAAGTTAAACCAGCTATTGATTTAGCTGTTATTGAGGTAGATAGACGTCGTTTATTAATTGATCGAAATTCATTTGAAGTTCGTTATGGTGATACAAATTCATCTTATATTGTTGGACCTTTATTAGCTATTGATTTTTATGCTAAACGACAAGCTGATGTATTCTTAGGTCCTGTCGATGGTCCCGGTTTAGCTGCTGTTTCAAGGTAAAATATTAAATTATTTTTTTTGTTCTATTTTCATTTGTTTAATTAAATTAGATATTCGCCTCATTGGCGAATACCTGTTATATCACCAGGTGGTGGTTTTAATTATCATTTTGATAATAAACGTGAATATCAATTATTAACACGAATGCTTCATTCATCGAAAACCATAGTTCATTTTATATCCCGTGTTATTTTACCCCATTTTAATTGGACTAGTGTAAGAATTATAGCTGAAAGAAATGTTATTGAAGCGCAAGTAAGTAAATATATTACTATTTTTATTAAAAATCCGAGGTTTTTTTTTTCCTTTCAACGAAATTAAGAGTGAATGTTATATGTTAATGGGTGCTTTATGCCGAGAATTACGTCATCCAAATAATAAAGGAGAATCAAAAGATACGTTAGTTGATTTGAAATTTTTGTTTAATTTTGAAATGAATTTTTCAAACTTTATTTATTCAGATGTTCTCATTCAATATTTGATGTCGATCGAAAAAATGAAACAAAAGAAAAACTACGTAAAACATTAGATGAAGCAAAAACTGAAGCAAGAAGTAATTAAATTTTGATTTTTATTACCTATTGATTTCAAATCTTTTTCTTTCTATTAGTTTTATTTATTTGTATGGATTCAAATTTATTTCGAGATTTTCTTTTAATGGCATATGATCTTGGTATGATCAATGGTGAATATGTTTTTGTTTATTTAGATATATTTCGTTTGATGAGGTATAAAATTTATTTTCATTAAATTATTTTGTAAAATATAATTTTATTTTTTTTTAATTCAACAAAAAAAAAATAAATAGAAAAGATATGAGTTTAATTAGTTGGTATAGAAATGAATCAAGTGAATCAGAAAATATTAAGGCACGTCGTGCTTTCGAAACAGTTCTTATTGTAGCTGTTAAACGGCCAGAGACCGAACGATATCGACAATTTTCTTATCAAGTTAATGCATTACAAGAAAAAATAAATAATGATAGTACATCAATAGGAAAACTTGTATGTTTAATATTTTCTAATGATAAAAAAAAAAAAAAAATTTCTCTTTTGTTCATTGATGACAAAAAAAAAAGGTCAATCCATATGTTGCAACATTCTATGATGCTGTTCTACTTTATGCATATGGGTTAAATCGTACAATAGAATCAAATCAAAATGCTAGTGATGGATTTGCTGTTGTACGAAAAATGTGGAATGTTAGTTTTGAAGGTTTGAAGAACTAAAATAAAAAAAAAAAAAAAACAATGAAAAAATTCTCATAGAAAAAGAAATGAATTCTTTAGGATCAAATGGTATTGTACAAATTAGTGAAACAGGTGATCGTGTTAGTGATTATTCCTTATTTGATTTGAATCCTGAAAGTGGTCAATTCGAAGTAATGAAATATTTCGAATTTTTTCAAATTAAAAATTCTTTATTTTTATAGGAAGTAGGAACTTATTTTGGTGTAAATTCATCATTTATTCCTTTAAAAGATATCTATTGGATTGATGATGTCAAAAAAACACCACTAGATGTTCCCGTAAGATAATAGAAAAAGCTTGAAATTATTCATATTTTATTCTATATAGCCTTGTGGTTTTGATGGGAGTAAATGTTTGGTACATAAGAGTAAGTTTTAGAATATTAATAGTAATCAAAAATAATTATCTATTTAATTATCTTTAAAGACCCAGCATTACCCTGGATTTATTTTACTGCAAGTGTAACATCCGTTATATTTATTTTGATAATAATTGCATTCTGGTATTTTAAACGTGTTAGTTTTGAAGCTCAACTTAAAGCAATGAATTGGATTATTGAACCTGATGATTTATTTTCAATGGAAGATTTTGGTCTTAAATATAAAACATTGAAACGAGATCGACATAAAGTAAAATAATAATAATAAATGAGTGTTTTTTTTTTTATTCACTTTTACTTATGGAAATTAGTTTTATGTTTAATTTAGCGTACTTCTGTGCATCATGTTACATTATTTGATGAAGAGAATGATATAGAAAATGTTGTAGCTGTCAAAACAGCACGATTTAAGGTAAAAAGAAGAAGAATTCAAATAAATATCTGTCTAAAAATAAAAAATATATATACATAATAAATTTATTAATTAATTTCCGGTTATTTTAAGACATGATTTCGTATAATTTGACTTTCATTAAACTAATAAGAAACAGTATGAAATTCTTATTTCTCACGTAAATTGATTAGTAAACAGGATGTTATTTTTTTTAATTAATAAAATATAGATATAGCATGATAAAAGAAAATCAAATAATAAAATATAACTTATTTTTTTTCGGAAACAAAAAATATAAATGAATTATAGATAAACTGGACTTCACAATGAATGATTGATAATACTTTAAGAAGAAAAAAAAACGATTTCCTTTTCAATAATATAATTCAGATGAAACAAAAAAAAAAAACTTTGGAAAGTTTTCATAATTCAAATTGACTTAAAATTCGTTCATTATGAAAATAAAAACTACAAAAATTATCTTTGATTATTTTACATTCAAAATTTAGTTTTCTTCAAAAATAAAACAAAAAAAAATTTTGCATCGCTCTTAAGTTTAAACAATTAGAAGAAAAAGATTAAGAGATGCAACCGTGACAATACATCGTCCACCAGCATATCCTAATCGGGAAGGCCATTTCAAGAAAATTCAGAGTCGAGAAATTCGAATTCATAGGAGATTTGTCGAAATTCTCGAGTTCGATTTTAGACTTTGTTCTCGTGATTTAGTAATGCTGTATAAAATTCAGTTATTTTCTTGAAGTAGTTTGTCTTCAACACAAAGAATCGAAATGTATCTAAGATCACCGTATGCCAATTATTTGTTTTAGGGATCAATAGTAGCATTAAAACTGATTCAACATAAAACAAGAATTGATATTAATCGATTGTTATTGATGGAAGTTAAAACTGTAGGTTTTATTTTTCTTTTTTAATTCATTTATTTAGACATAGTTCTTATTTATTTTTTTAATATGAAGATTAAAGATATGCAAAGTGAATATCTTGTTCGATTTATTGGTGCATGCCTTGATCCACCTTGTTTAGTTAATGAATATTGTTCCAAAGGAAATTTACAGGTTACTTGATGAATTTATTATTATTTTTTTAAAATTTATATATGATATTTTACTATAGAATCTTCTTGAAAATTCTCAAATTCGACTTGATGATATGTTTAAATATTCTATTATTCATGATATTGTTAAAGTATAATTTTAAGAAATAATTTTCTTTTATAGAAATTCCTTTTTGTTTATAGGGAATTATGTATATTCATAATAGTGATCTTCAATCCCATGGAAATTTAAAAAGTACAAATTGCCTTGTTGGTAGTCGTGTAAGTTCGCTTTGAATTTAATTAAAAAAATCAATTTTATTTCATATTTTAGTTTGTTGTTAAAATTTCTGATTATGGTATTCCATCTCTTCGTTGTCCAGTTCATCAAAAATATCCAGCAAATTGTGAACAATATTATAAATGTAATTCTTCATTTATTTAAATTATTATTTGTTTTTGTTTTTTTCTTTTAATAAAAGAAAAATTGTTACCTTTTTTGTTTTCTTTAAGCATTACTTTGGTCATCACCAGAAATTATACGTGATCCACATGCACCAATACAAGGTTCACAAAAAGGCGATGTTTATAGTTTTTCAATAATACTTCATGAAATTATTTATCGTCGTGGTCTTTTTGCAATTAATGAAACAGGTGTAACACCAAAAGAAATTTTTCTTTCAATTAAATCAGGAAATGAAATTCGACCACCATTTCTTGGTGATAATACACTTTATGAAATAGGTTATCTTATGAAACGATGTTGGCAAGAAAATTCTAATGATCGACCAGATTTTACGTCTATTTTGAATACAATGAAAAAATTAAGCAAGTAAGATTAGGAGGAAAATATTCTTTTTCTTTTCTTTATCGTGATTTACTTTTTTTTTTTTTTTTTTTTTTTATTAAAATAGAAAATTTGATAATGAAAATCTTGTTGATAATTTATTACAACGTATGGAACAATATACAAATAATCTTGAAGATCTTGTTAAAGAACGTACAAATGATTATTTATTAGAGAAGAAAAAAGCTGAAGAATTACTTTATCGTTTATTACCACAGTAAGTTTGTACTTCAAGATAATAAAAAAACAAAAGAACCTTTAAATAGATAAATTCGATGTTTATTGTTGATCTATTTGAAAGTATTTTGAATGAATGAAACACTATAGATTAGGTCCAGACTTTTGTACTCTTTTCAAATATAGGCTTAGAAAATTTCTGTTTATTTTTACTCGAGAGTAATGAAGAAATCTTTCAAAATTCTGAAAAATTGTTTGGGATAACGAAAAAAACATATTTTTCTTAACTCTATTTAAATTCTTGAATTTAATAATTTTGTCGAGTAAACACTTGTTTACAAAATACGATATCGAACTGAACTGTCGCTTTTACTCAAGTTAAACTCTAAACGTTTTCTCAGAAACTACATTCCACGTAAAACGCCCTTTCATCGAAAAAAAAACGAGAATGATAGGAAAACAACAGTTTAGGTGCTTTATATCATCCAAAAAAAGATTTTTTCAGATCTTTTAGTATTCTCGTCATCACACATAATGTTTCATTTGTCTAGAAAACTTTCAAATTGATCAAACATGAACAACAATTTTATCTAGGAGGTTTCGCATCATTGGTTATTGATTAAATCATATAGATAATCTTAATTTTTATAAGATTTAACAAACGTAGATTTTTATGTTTATTCCATTTGAAAAATCAGGAAATTAGTTTTTATGCTTGTAGTAGTGCTGATTCGATAAGATGCTGACACATGTTTTAAGAATTATTCACAGAAGACATCATTAAGTGCTCTCTCTCTCTCTTTCAATAGGATGTATATAATTATTGATTGACTATGGTTTCATGCCAAGTCGCTTCCTATGATGTGTTATTCTTTTTTTTTTTTTATTAGAGACATATTCTCTCAGTCACGAAAGAATGAAGTCTTCATAATTATATTGTGCATGTATGAGTGACAGAATATATGGCGGAATGACGTGTCATCGTGATAGATTGAAATGAAGTCTTACTAAGTTAAAAATATGATAAAAGGTGAAAATATTCTTATTATAAAATGGAAAGTTTTAGAATCATGCTTTTCAGTTAATGAATTCCTTCGCATGATTAATGTATGAGCTATATTAAAAGGATGATAAAGGAAAAAAAAAATGTTTACCGTATGACGAATGATGCTGAGCAAAAACGTTTGTTAAAGTTGACAACATAAAAATATAGTTTCAATATTGTTGTTGTTGTTGTTTTTCTAATGTATCAATGTTTATTAAAGATTAGTAGATTATGAATAAAGAACTGAAAATAAAAATATGATTCTATATGATTTAATTTATGTTTATTTAAATAAGAATAATGTCAAATAAAGAAAAATTAATATTTGTCTTTCTTCTTTTCATTATAAAGATCTGTTACTGCTGAATTAATAGCTGGTAAACAAGTAACAGCTGAATCATTTGAATGTGTTACTATTTATTTTTCTGATATTGTTGGTTTTACACGAATATCAGCTGAAAGTACACCACTACAAGTAAAAATTTATTCTGTTTATATAAATTCTAGAAATGAATTTCTTGTTTATTTTTTTTTTTAAAAAAAAATAGATTGTTTCTTTACTTAATGATCTTTATACATGTTTTGATTCAATTATTGAAGCATTTGATATTTATAAAGTTGAAACAATTGGTGATGCTTATATGGTTGTTAGTGGTTTACCAACACGTAATGGTGATTTACATGCACGTGAAATCTCACGTATGGCATTAACAATTCTTGATGCTGTTATTCATTTTCGTATTCGACATAGACCTGATGAACAATTAAAAATTCGTATTGGTATTCATTCAGGTAGAATTTATTTATTTAAAAATTTTTGTTTTAAGGAACTTGTTTTGATTAAGGTCCATGTGTTGCTGGTGTTGTTGGTTTAAAAATGCCAAGGTAAAAGAGTTTTTTAAAGAAGATTAAAAAAAATATGTATATATATATATTTGACTTGTATAAATCTATAGATATTGTCTATTTGGTGATACAGTTAATGTTGCTTCACGTATGGAATCTAATGGACAACCATTAAGAATTCATATATCGCCTTGTACAAAAGCCTTACTTGATAAATTTCAAACATTTATCACTAAGTCACGTGGACAAGTTAATCTTAAAGTAAAATTTTCATATTGTTTAATTTTATCGTTTTTTTATTTTTCTAAATTTTATTTTAGGGTAAAGGTGAAATGTTAACCTATTGGTTATTAGGTGAACGTGATGGTTTACAAGTGCCATTTAGCAATGATTCGGATCTTAATGATAATAATAATACAACTGAGAAATTGAATTCAGATCATTGATAATTTCTGTTCCATATTTTTGTTTTATTTTTTTTTGCTTTTTATTCATATTCAAAATAAAAAGTTTTATTTGATTTTCAATATTTGACTATTTTTTTTTTTATAAATTATATATTCAATGGATAAAACTTCAATAGTTAATAATCAGGACTGGCTCGAGAGGATCAACATTGAGGACAGTGTGTAGAGATTGTTTTTCCTAGGAGAACACATGAAAAAAGTTCGGCTCTGCTGGGAAAAACAAAAACATTTTCTTGATTGCGAGGGGAAGATGTCACACTCTCCTCCCCGATCGAACCATTCCTATTAACAATATATATTGACGTAGAAGAAAAAGAAGATTCATTATTCTTTGTGATTATTCAAGCAAATTTAAGTTGTTTATTCATACGAAATTTTATGATAATTTATTTAAATAAAATATTTTAACAATTAAATAAATGTGAATATACTTTGCTCACAATAAATTAATTGACAAACAAATTACAGTTGAGAAAAGATAATTGTAAATATAAACTTGAATGATTGAATTCATTTTAATTGACTACTGTTCTAAATTATTGATGAATTGTGCTTGCAAATGACCGGTTATTCATCATTTGAGACACTTCATATCAATCGGATATTAAAAATATTCATTTATAAAGTAACGGATGATTCTTAATGAATATTCAGGTTCTTGTATTTTTACGTTCTACTCAATAACAAAAAAAAATACAACACAAGATGCAGAATGAGAAGGTCTACAGATTACAAACAAAAGCTTATTTAATATATACACCTTTTGTTTTCAAAATAGACAAAATATGAACAAGATCATTTTTTGATACACAAAAAATTCCTTTTCTTATTTCATCCATTAGTGAACGATGATTTTTAACGACATTCAATTGTATATTATTGGTAATAGCATCACATATGTAATAAGAGAAAACTTTTAACAGCAGTTTAAAGAAAAAAAAAGGCAATTTTTTTTTCGGTTTTTCATTATATTATGATGCTTCGATAAATTTATTATAATTATCAAATGAATATCACTCACAAATTAACACAAAGAAATAACAATTGAGATTATATTAAAAGATTAAAAATTACAATTAAAGCTACAGTTAGAAGTTTACAATTACAATTACAATTAGAATTAGTGATCAAGATAAAGTTAAAATTGCAGATAGAAATATAATAATTGATTAATTAAAGTTACAATTACAGTAAGAGATGATATTTAGTTATTTCGAGTAAAAATTAAATATCGAATTTTTAAAAATATGATGTTTAAAAGTGTGAATTATTAAATATATGTAACACAGCCCCAAGCAGGTCATTAGGCTGACCTGCCTCTCACAGACATGCCAGACCGTCTAGTCTGTCTGCTTTTTTTCTTCGATATGAAATTCTTATTTCATGAATTGGATTTATGTCTAGAAAACAGATTCAGTTAAGTTAGTTTTCAATGATGACATTTAGATATCATGAATTACATAAATAATAAAGAATAAATATTGAGGATTAATATAAACAATCAAATTCACTACCATCATGAAGAGGTTATCAGCACAAAGCAGGGATCGATGAGTGATGAGATTGGCTCCTTCGAAAGATTTGTTTTTTTCTGTTACATGCAAAACTGTCAGACAATGGTTTCGAAAGTGATCGCTGCTAGAATTAGCCCTATGGCACTTGTTTACGCTATACTTAGATCGCTTGAAAACCTGCATCAAACTATACGAAAACTAGCCTTATCGACTACCATATTGATGATTAAATAGACCTGATTATCATCAACGGTCAGATATGATACGCATGGAACAGTTATTGACTGTTGCAAGCGATATGAGTACAGCGTAAACAAGTGCAAAGAGGTTAATTCTACTAGCAATCACTTTCGAAACTCTTCTGTGACAGTGCTACATAGAAAAAAAGTCAAATTTTTCGAGGGGATCGATTTCATCACTTATCAATCCTTCCTTTCCATGTTTGTCATTAATGTGCTCCGGATTGTTTTTGAATTTTATACTGTTGTACTGGTTTGTAAACAATACGATAAACTACAACTAAATAGAGATCTTTCTCATGCAAAAAATGACGAAAAAATCCGTTAAAATCACTTTTTTTTCGGTTTTTTACATGGGAATTCTTCGCTCTTATTTTATGCTACCCGTTAATCTGCGTCAACTTCGTATTACCTGTTAATCAATATTAATCGATTATTACTTATTAATTGGTTTTAATCTATTCTTAATTTTTAATCGATTATAATCATTCATATTGAATATAGGCGTTTTTCCCGATATTCAAACGCGAAATCCTAATTTTTTATGATTTTTTTTGGATTGCTCATGTTTAGAAACTATGAAGATATTACCAAGCTAAACTCTGACATTCAAATTCAGATGATGCAACTACATCAGTAAACGATTAAAATCGATTTCAAACTATAAAAAGCAAATTAAATCAATGAAAACATTTTAATCAATATTAATCAATCATATGCATAATTTTACTTTTTCTATACAATACATTTGTGTATATAAAGCACCTTTGTAATTGATATCCTCACAGGTTGTACTCATCTCATGTATGCTTCTTACTTATAAAAATAATCAGTTTCAGTTCATTATTACTTTTTGAAATCGATTACACATGATTTTGTGTTTTGGATGGACTTGTTATTGAATAAAACCAATTTTATCGAATTATTTTTATCTAAATTATCTTTTTTGGGAAAAGCGCTTATATTATTCACAATCATGTATATCATGCTTATTCTAGAACTTCCACCCTAATAAACATTATATGACATTTTTATTTAACGTAGCTATACTAACAATTATTAATCCAACCAAAATATCTTGTACTCGTACAAATCATTTCGTTCTGTATAGATCTGACTAATATTCTCCAACACTTTCACAATCGATTGAACAGATTAAAATCAAATTAGTACCCTCCCAATCAGACTAGATGCTTAACTCGAGTTCGAACATAAATGAAAAATTCAAAAAAAAAACGCCACTTCTATGTTTCAAGAGCACAAAAGCAAAAGAAAAAAATTTTTCTAGCTCATCTATTAATCAAAATCATAGATCGAAATGCACATTCATGTTGAAACAGCAAAAATCAAAAGAGAAATTTTATATAAGTTATAATTTATAAATGGAGAGGAACACCCATATTGAAATAGAAGAAACTTATTCAATCGATAGAAGTTAGTAAAGTAACTGTATTTTTAGTTTTGGAAGATGTTTCATACAACATTGATAGTGAACTTTTTTCGAATATTTTGTGTTAGACAAACTTAAAGCTTTTATCTGCGTATCATGTGAAGCAGATTATTATTTTATCAATAAATTGTAGTTTGGATTAAGGTTTTCTTGAGAACTTTTTTTTTTTCATGGAATAATACACATAACAAATAGTACATCAAGAAATGTAATATCAATAGTTCTATTAGTACTCTTCATTTTCTTGAAATAACTTTTTTTTTTTAGTGAAATTACGAATACAATTCTTTCGAAGTCTATCTATAATTTGATCGAAAGTTTATCTTAAATATTTGAAATAGACGAACAATAAAAGCATACAAATATCTGTAAAAATAAAACTATGTATATTCATCGGATGTTATTCGATCTATCCATTGATGATTTTTGAACACATTGAAGTTCTGAAAGCATATAGAATTTCATTCACTGATTATTTTGATAACAAAGTATTTAATAATTTACTTAATTTTTATATAGATAGATATTTAATAGTTAATGGATCCTATTGCACCAATTTACGATAGAAGAACAACGGGTTTTATCTAAAATCTGAAGATCATAGTGCGTTAATCGTTGTTTGAATTAAGAAAAAAAACAATAGTATACCCGTTTTCTTCGTAAAAAAATTGCGTCATTTATATTCCCATGAGTTTTCAAGTGATCAACAGATATCTATAACGTCTGATGTTATATACTGGGAAACGAAAAAGCATGAAAAACTCAAATAGATCAATAGAAACAATTAGATTGGTGATATCATACATATGAAAGAATAGAAGCTACTGTAAAAGATAAATCAAAATCGAGAAAAATGAACTTCAAATATAAGGTCGAAATTTCGAAATCATTTTTCTAGATTGTAAATTATCCTGTTTTTGAATAATGGTTTTGCTGTTAGGTTCTATGGAATCTTATCATCTGAGTTTCGACAATCTTTTTATTGTCAAAAATTAAAATGACAAAACTCCAGTTTACCTTACCGATAGACCAACATCCATCTTTAAAATCATTAGAATGTTTCCAACGGAGCATAATAATCTGTGTTGTCTAAAAAATAAATCTCATAAATACATCTGCATAGAACTTAAAATAGTGTCAAATTCCAGATTTTTATCAGGTCTCTTGTAAACATAATTAAAGTAGTTTCAATAACATTGTATTCTATTCATTACAGGTTTATTCAATTTCCTTGTTTTTAATCAAATGAAAATAAGATACTAGAATATGTTATCATCTATTAAAATCAACATAGATTTCTACTTTTGCTCAAAATTTTTTTGACTTCAAAAAAATCAAGTAAATTATTTATCAAAGCGAAATAGTGTTGTCAATTTTTTTGTTATATTCAAGATACTGTCATACATATTTTAAATAGAAGAAAATGTCATACTTATATATTATAAAATATAAAGGTGCTTCGAAGTTTGAATAAAATCTGTCTTTCATAGACTAACAACGTCTGTCAAAAGAAGATGTATGATTAAAGGCACATTGCTATATTTTGGAGACTAAATGATATTATTTATTGTCTAAGATTTAAGATAATTATTGTCAAAAATCTTCTTTATAAATAAAATACGGCATACGACAAAAAAAAAGCAACAATTTTGTTTCATCTACTTCATCTTAAAATCATTTGATTATTTCAAATGTTCTTGATTTTTCATCGTCTGAAGCATTCTTTGAAAAAAAAATCAAGAATACCTATTCAGAATCTACGTTGAAAGTTTTTCTCACAATATGTATAAAAATAATTCTATTATCTCTTGTTTTGCAGTATTGATCAAATTTTCCACCAGCATCAAAATATATTCTATAAAAAAACAGCTCGAAATAGTTATCACGAAAATTTTTGTAACTTATTTTGTGTTCATTCCATGGAATAGTATTGATCTTTTCTCTATCGAATTTCTCATTCTATTGTTAATAAACCATGCAGTCAGTGTTTTATCCAGAGGGGTGCCCGGGGAGGGGCCGCGCCCCCCCCCC